ATACTACATCAGTCACCAGCTAAGAGCTATATCAGCCTGAGGTAAACAATGGCAGGTAACATTTGCTCTTGAGAAAACACAAATGATGATAGTTTCTAGGCACTATGATGGTAATGCTGGAGCATTTGTAAATATAAATGGAAGAACGTCAGTACCTGGGGGTGAAGTTGATATCCTCGGGATGAAATTCGACTCCAAACTGACCATGAAGAACCACATTGTAAACCTGGCAAACAAGGCAGCCAGGAAGCTTATGGCACTTTGACTTATCTCACACCTGCTTGACAGTAGAGGTTACAAGATTCTGTTTGAGGCACAAATACACTCACACCTTGAGTATGCTCCACTTTCTTGATTGCCTGCACCCCCAGCTTATTTACGACTTCTTGACAGAGTAGCAAACAGAGCAAGATGTCTCGTCTCTCTCCTGGACCCAGTCTGGATAGATCTATCATTTCAGCTATCATTTCAGCAGAGCCTTCAACATTGGGGGATGTGGGTGCCTTACTGTTATGTACAAGGTCAGTATTGTCAAAGTACTACACGTGGCTCCACTCTGAGGACAGCATGAAGTGAGCTTCTACACCACAAGATGGGCAGCAAGCAGCAACTTTATTCTGACTGTACTCTTCTTCAGAACATCACCTCATCTGAGATCATTTATTCCCAGGATGACTTGAGTCTGGAACATGTTTGTACAACATAATAATATCAGTGAAAAAAAAGTCAGTTGATCAAATGAAATTGCTGGCCCATAGGTGGCTCTAACTTCATCTTATTCCCTACTTGTATTTTTTTTTTTTTTTTTTTTTTTTTTTTTCAAAAAAGTCGGGGCCCTCCCACCGAGGCAGGGTGCCCCAAAAAAAAGAAAGAAAACCCCCAAAAGAAAATACTTTCATCCATTCAACACTTTCCCCGAAAATTTCGCACATTATCCTTTTTTTGCAGAGGTGCCAAAACAACGCTAAAAGTACACATATAAAGATACACAAATTCCCTCCAAACTCCCAAATATCCCAAACCCCTCCTTAAAGTGCAGGCATTGACTTCCATTTTCCCGGACTCAAGTCCGACTTATGAAAAAAACCGGTTTCCCGAATCCCTTCACTAAATATTACCCTGCTCACCTCCAACAGATCGTCAGGGCCCCAAAACCATTCGTCTCCTTCACTCCACTAACAGCTCACGCGCTTGCTGGAAGTCCCAACCCCTACCCCAAAACCTCCTTAACCCCCCCTTCCAACCCTTTCGAGGCGACCCCTACCCCGCCTTTCCCTTCCCCTATAATTTATATGCTTTTTATGTCATTCTACTTTGATCCATTCTCTCTAAAAGACCAAACCACCTCAAGAACCCCTCTTCTGCCCTCTGACTAATACTTTTATTAACTCCACACCTTCTCCTAATTTCCACACTCCGAATTTTCTGCATAATATTTACACCACACATTGCCCTTAAACAGGGACATCTCCACTGCCTCCAACCGTCTCCTCGCTGCTGCATTTACCACCAAGCTTCACACCCATATAAGAGTGTTGGTACTACTATACTTTCATACATTCCCTTCTTTGCCTCCATAGATAACGTTTTTTTTGACTCCACATATACCTCATCGCACCACTCACCTTTTTTCCCTCAATCAATTCTATGATTAACCTCATCCTTCATAAATCCATCCGCCGACACGTCAACTCCCAAGTATCTGAAAACATTCACTTCTTCCATACTCCTCCTCCTCAATTTGATATCCAATTTTTCTTTATCTAAATCATTTGACACCCTCATCACCTTACTCTTTTCTATGTTCACTTTCAACTTTCTACCTTTACACACATTCCCAAACTCATCCACTAACCTTTGCAATTTTTCTTTGAATCTCCCATAAGCACAGTATCATCAGCAAAAAGTAACTGTGTTCAATTCCCATTTTGAATTTGATTCCCCAAAATTTAATCCCACCCCTCTCCCAAACACCCTAGCATTTACTTCCTTTACAACCCCATCTATAAATATATTAAACAACCATGGTGACATTAAACATCCCTGTCTAAGACCTACTTTTACCGGGAAGTAGTCTCCCTCTCTTCTACACACCCTAACCTGAGCCTCACTATCCTCATAAAAACTCTTTACAGCATTTAATAACTTCCCACCTATTCCATATACTTGCAACATCTGCCACATTGCTCCTCTATCCACTCTATCATATGCCTTTTCTAAATCCATAAATGCAATAAAAACTTCCCTATCTTTATCTAAATACTGTTCACATATATGCTTCAATGTAAAACACCTGATCTACACATCCCTACCCACTCTAAAACCTCCTTGCTCATCCGCAATCCTACATTCTGTCTTACCTCTAATTCTTTCAATTATAACCCTACCGTACACTTTTCCTGGTATACTCAGTAAGCTTATTCCTCTATAATTTTTACAGTCTCTTTTGTCCCCTTTCCCTTTATATAAAGGGAACTATACATTGCTCTCTGCCAATCCCTAGGTACCTTCCCCTCTTTCATACATTTATTAAACAAAAGTACCAACCACTCCAACACTATATCCCCCCTTGCTTTTAACATTTCTGTCTTGTTTCCCAATCAGTTCCAGCTGCTTTACCCCCTTTCATTTTACGTAATGCCTCGCGTACCTCCCCCACATTTAAAATTCTGCTCTTTCTTCACTCCTAAAAGATGGTATACCTCCCTGACCAGTGCATGAAATTCCCTGCCTCGGGTTTCTTCCTTAACATTTAAAGTTCCTCAAAATATTCTCGCCATCTACCAATACCCCCATCTCCCCATCTACTAACTCCCCTACTCTTTTTTTAAAATGACAAATCCATATTTTCCCTAGGCTTTCTTAACTTGTTTAACTCACTCCAAAATTTTTTCTTATTTTCATTAAAATTTCTTGACAGTGCCTCTCCCACTCTATCATCTGCTCCCCTTTTGCACTTTTCTCCCCACTCTCTTTACCTTTCTTTTACTCTCCATTACTCTGCTCTTCTTAAAAACACTTCTGCTTTGTAAAAACCTCTCAAAAAGCTACCTTTTTCCTTTATCAAAACCCTTTACTTATCATTCCACCAATCACTCCTCTTTCCTCCCCTGCCCCCACCCTCCTATAACCACAAACTTCTGCCCCACATTTAATACTGCATTTTTAAAACTATTCCAACCCTCTTCAAACCCCCCCACTACTCATCTTTGCACTAGCCCACCTTTCTGCCAATAGTCGCTTATATCTCACCCGAACTTCCTCCTCCCTTAGTTTATACACTTTCACCTCCCTCTTACTTGTTGTTGCCACCTTCCTCTTTTCCCATCTACCTCTTACTCTAACTGTAGCTACAACTAAATGTATGTCTCATAATAATAAAAGGCTTTTAACCCTTAGACTGTCCAAACGTAGAGCTATGTTCATGTACGTAGCTCTCCAATCGTAGAGCTACGTTTTATTTTACATGCTTTCAACCCTGGCACGATAAGCCTGAGTTGCCTAGACATGAGAGAATGAGTGTGTGCACTCAGTGTGCGCAGTATGACAAAATTTGGGGATGCCAGGAAAAATGCGCTCTGCATTTTAAGCAAAAAAAAAAAAAAATGTTTTTCCCATAAAATATTGAGAGCAGTACGCAAGTGAACGTTGTTCTACATTTGGACAGTTGAAGGGTTAAATGAGCTGATGTAGGTAAAAGCTATTAGCTTGTCAATAAAGTTAAGAACCCTTACCCTAACCTTGTTAAACCCTGTGTAAAAAAACAAAAAGAGAGAGAGAGACTAATGGACTTGTTCAGTTTCATGGGTGATATACTGTATTTTAGGTTGAAATATTGATTGTGATTAGATGTAAAATAACGTCATACAATTCAATCATTTCAGTTTGATTGGGTTGCCTAGAAACTAAATACGTAAATGAAGATAACAGTTTGATGACAAAGGTTATTTTTGAAAGCTAGGTAGCCCTTAATTGATGAAATAGTATAGTGTTGTGTTATTGTAAGAGATGTATTTAGCAAATTATTAAATGTAAAAAGAACAACTTTTTTTTTTTTTTTTTTTTTTTTTTGCCACCCTTCCTTGTGGGAGACAGCCGGTTTGTTAAAAAAAAAAAAAGTTTTTAATAATTATGAGAATTTCAAGAGCTTTAAAAACTTAGGAATTTACTCATCATTATAAATGTTAAATGAAAATGGGGCAAGATGTGTTTGGCAATGCCTGACAACTGTGAGATAAGAACAGTCTACTTTTACAACTGGCTTGGCCAAGTAGATTGTGTTGCACATAGATGCAACAGTTTGAAGGAAAGTTTCTCATGCTTAGTGTGTGGTATATATGGGAGGGCTTGAGAGAGTGAATCATCCTTGGATGGTCAGCCAGAGTGACTGGAGTGAGCCTTTCAGGGTGAATTACTAAGTGGTTATCTGTCTGTGGTTAGATCCCCAGTCGGGTGGAAACATTTGGTATGTTTCTTTACACCTGCTGTCCCTGTTCACCTAGCAGTAAGTAGGTACCTTGATGTTAGCTGACTGGTGTGGGTTGCAGCCTGGGGGGGGGGTAGTATATTTTAGGTAAGGCTGGGCTGAGGTACTATAGCATTACATAACCTGTGAAATTGATGTAAAAAAAAATTGCCTTGGTTTATGGTGTAGTTATGTGTGGCAAGAGATTTTATTGTAGTTTTCTGCTGATCTTAAGGTATTAATACAATATTCTTTTGTGATTAGGTTTTGAGCTGCCAGGAGCAATAATGAAAAGTTGATTGATCATTGATAGTGAAATCAGTGTTATAACTAGTGAGGTACTAATACAAGTTATTGCTGGAAGTGGTTTTTAGCAAGTGTTTGCTGAAGTGTGTGAACTTTGCTGGTTAATTCAGGTTTTTACCACTAAACTTATTGTTTTACCAGTAAATTTATTGTTTTACCTGTAAACTCAGTGTTTCAGTAAACTTGGTGTTTTGTCAAATCATTCCTTTATTCTTTTGTTTTCTCACAGGCTGGCACTCATGATCTCCTTCAGTCTCTGGTGGAAATATCAGGTGTTTCTCAGACAAATGCAAGACTTATGTGCCATGCTGCTATCTTGCGCAACTTGGCTGCAGCTTTATCTGCCTGCATATACCAGTCACTCTGTGACTCGGAGACTTTCACTATCAAGGCTCCACACAGGTACTGTTTGCACTTGTTGCTGATTTATTCAGGGAAATATTAAAATGGTTGGGAACACAACTTCTCTGGAGTGAAAGAGAAAGTGATTGTGTGTGCATGTCTGTCTTTGTGTTTTGTTTGTTTTATTAAATGCATTCATACTTTGTATATGTTCTTATTATTCATTGGTGGAGATTTCAAGTACAGGAGGGCCCCGCTTTACGGCGTTTCGCTTTACGGCGTTCCGCTAATACGGACATTTCAAATTATGACCAAAACTCGCTATACGGCTCCCCCCACCTGTCTTTCTAATACGGTCACAGCGGCCCACCGAGTTTGTTTACATTCTCCCTGAGCACATCTCCTTATTATGTCTGGAAACTTTCCAAAATTTCAAGTGTTTTAAAGTTATTGTATATTTTATATGTATTGTACTTGATAATTAAACTTGTGTACACCTGTACCTAAATAAACTTACACACATGTAGGTACACATTAAAATCACTAAGAGTCTCTCTACTCTTGATGCAATAATAATAATAATAATAATAATAATAATAGTAATAATAATAATCTCTTGGGCGCATTAATGTCGCATATTACGTTAATATAGACATTTCCCTTAATCTATCTATGATATTTTTTCAAAATTATATAAGAAACACATTATGTAACACACAAACATGATACATGCACCCACAGTATAAAAATTTATACAAATACATATGAGATGTTTACCAAACGGTTTGTAGAAGTGTTGGAAGAATTACGTTTTCTCCAGCCCGTCACCTGTTACTGGAGAGCCTGGAGTTTACCTGGAGAGCGTTTCGGGGGTCAACGCCCCCGCGGCCCGGTCTGTGACCAGGCCTCCTGGTGGATCAGTGCCTGATCAACCAGGCTGTTGCTGCTGGCTGCACGCAAACCAACGTACGAGCCACAGCCCGGCTGATCAGGAACTGACTTTAGGTGCTTGTCCAGTGCCAGCTTGAAGACTGCCAGGGGTCTGTTGGTAATCCCCCTTATGTGTGCTGGGAGGCAGTTGAACAGTCTCGGGCCCCTGACACTTATTGTATGGTCTTTAACGTGCTGTGACACCCCTGCTTTTCATTGGGGGATGGTGCATCGTCTGCCAAGTCTTCTGCTTTCGTAGTGAGTGATTTTCGTGTGCAAGTTCGGTACTAGTCCCTCTAGGATTTTCCAGGTGTTATATAATCATGTATCTCTCCCTCCCTGCATTCCAGGAAATACAGGTTTAGAAACCTCAAGCGCTCCCAGTAATTGAGGTGTTTTATCTCCGTATATGCGCGCCGTGAAAGTTCTTGTAAAATTTTTTTAGGTCGGCAATTTCACGCCTTGAAAGGGCTGTTAGAGTGCAGCAATATTCCAGCCTAGATAGAACAAGTGACCTGAAGAGTGTCATCATGGGTTGGCCTCCTAGTTTGAAGGTTCTCATTTTCCATCCTGTCATTTTTCTAGCAGATGCGATTGATACAATGTAAAGGTCCTTGAAGGTGAGATCCTCCGACATAATCACTCCCAGGTCTTTGACGTTGGTGTTTCGCTCTATTTTGTGGCCAGAATTTGTTTTGTTTCTCTGATGAAGATTTAATTTCCTCATGTTTACCATATCTGAGTAATTGAAATTTCTCATCGTTGAACTTCATATTGTTTTCTGCAGCCCACTGAAAGATTTAGTTGATGTCCGCCTGGAGCCTTGCAGTGTCTGCAATGGAAGACACTGTCATGCAGATTTGGGTTTGTCATCTGAAAAGGGGAAGACACGGTGCTGTGGCTGACATCCTTGTCTATGTCGGATATGAGGATGGGGAAACAAGATGGGAGCTAGTTTGTGCCTTGTGGAACAGAGCTTTTCACCGTAGCTGCCTCGGACTTTACTCTGTTGACGACTACTCTCTGTGTTCTGTTAGTGGAGGGAAATTTATAGACCCATCGACCGACTTTTCCTGTTATTCCTTTAGCGCGCATTTTGTGCGCTATTACGCCCATGGGTCACACGTGTCGAAGGCTTTTGCAAAGTCTGTATATATTACATTTTGCATTCTTTTTGTCTTCTAGTGCATTTAGGACCTTGTCGTAGTGATCCAGTAGTTGAGACAGACAGGAGCGACCTGTTCAAAACCCCATGTTGCCCGGGGTTGTGTAACTGATGGGTTTCTAGATGGGTGGTGATCTTGCTTCTTAGGACCCTTTCAAAGTTTTTTTATGATATGGGATGTTTAGTGCTATGGTCTGTATTTCTTTGCTGTTGCTTTACTGCCCCCTTTGTGGAGTGGGGTATGTCTGTTGTTTTTAGTAACTGAGGGAACGAACCCCCGTGTCCATGCGCCCTCTCCATAGGATGGAAAAGGCTCGTGATAGGGCTTCTTGCAGTTCTTGATGAACACAGAGTTCCATGAGTCTGGCCCTGGGGCAGAGTGCATGGGCATGTCATTTATCGCCTGTTCGAAGTCATTTGGCGTCAGGATAACATCGGATAGTCTTGTGTTAATCAAATTTTGTGGCTCTCTCATAAAAAATTCATTTTGATCTTCGACTCTCAGTCTGGTTAGCGGCTTGCTAAAAACTGAGTCATATTGGGACTTGAGTAGCTCACTCATTTCCTTGCTGTCATCTGTATAGGACCCATCTTGTTTAAGTAGGGGCCCAATACTGGACGTTTTTCTCGATAACTGTAGAAAAATATTCCTTTCGTATGCCTTCACTTTATAGCTATAATTCTGTACTAACTTGTACACAGTGTAAGAGTATTTGTTTCGTGATTTAATTATAATAATAATAAAAATATTATAAGGTAAAAGTTTCACAAACTCTTACAAATGTACATGAATGAACTAAAACTGGACACGTATTAATACCGTCTATTTCGCCTGACCGAGTTGATCGTCCACAACCTGTTCAGTTTGTTTGTTTACGCTGTCTGAGCTCGGTGTATCATTAAATGTTGTATATTACGTTAATATACACATTTTCGTTTATCCATCCGTGATATTTTTTTTAAAATTATATAATAAACACGATACATAACATAAATACATAACAACATATGTGTAGAGAACCTAGGATAACCCAAAAAAGTCAGTGACTTACTTCCATTGCCTTCACTCAGAGCAAACATTTCTTCTCAAAATTTATGTTACATGAGAATGGGAGGGTTCTTCTTTATTTATTCTACCATATCAATGTAGAGACAACCTGTACACAATGTAAACTTTGTCACAAACCGGCGTGTACACTTTGTTTACACCCCAAACTTACCTTCGCCCTGGTTTGTTTTTCATTTAAATCTGCGCCTGTCCTCTCTCATGCACTCATTCTTTCTCTCTGGTATGGTAGCCTGGCTGACTACCATACATTTCCACACTTGATTTTTTACAATAAATACTACTCTCTCACCCTATATTTTAAGGTAAGTAATGAGTGAACTGTATATACATTTTATCGCTCTGGGATGCTTAAATATCATAGAATAGTATGTGTGGGTGGGGTGGCCTGGTATGGTAGCCTGGCTGACTACCATACATACCACACTTGATTTCTTACCCAAAAAATACTTGTCTCACCCTAGATTAAGGGCTATAAAATTTTTAAGGTAAGTAATGAGTGCACTATGTGTGTATTGTACTTTTTTATTGTTTTTTGATGCCTGGTTCTATTGCTAACATAATATATGTTAGTGTAAACTTGTTATCTAGTGTTTGTATGCATTTGTAAGTGGAAAAAAAAGGGTGTTCCACTTTACGGCAGTTTCCGCTTTACGGCGGTAGCCTGGAACCTAACCCGCCGTATAAGTGGGGCCCTCCTGTATATTTGGTAGATATTAAGTATAGTAGGTGTAGTGATAATGTTAGGCTGTGGTAGCTACTGCCACTGCTGCCCAGGTACTGGACATGTTAATGGGTATGGTTTGGAACAAAGGGAGATTGCTCACTTGCACTACACCCTCTCTTGCATAATTACATACTCTCACCACTACCTTCCCACATTACATACCCAAGCATATAATATGCTCACCTTAACACTGATAAGTGATGAACATAATAACCCTCAAGGTAGATACAGTGTAAAAGAGGGTTGGAGTGATGGTATGGTGAACATTATTAATGAACCTCAAGGTAGATACAATGTAAGAGAGGGTGGGAGTGAATAGGAGAGTGAAAATGAGAGAGGGAGGCAGTCCAGTGTTCACAACCCCTACATATGTCGCCCCACTCCTACAACACATGTCACCCCACTATTACAACAAACATCACCCAACTCCTACAACACACAATCAGTGACAACACTGAGAAAATGATGAGCTTTGGTAAAGAGTATTATATTGTGATAATAGAGATATTGAGAGAATAAGAGAGTGAGTGATTGAGTCTTGCTACTACCCATCCCTACACATCTCTGCTGTTTTCTGTATACAACTGTTCTTTCTAATTAACATGTACTGTACATATTAATTACACAGTATTCAGTAATGTCTATGACAAGAATCAGTGCCAGATGTAAAATATTGGGTAAATATTCTTGCTTAAAAATAAATGAAATTAGGTACAGAATATTATGGCTCTGTAATGCATCTCTGATCATTATATGAATTTCTATGAGGAAAATAGAATCTGAATTCTAAACACTAGACTTTCAAAAAAGATTTTCAGGACTGTCTTAGCATCATAGGTAGAGACCTATCATGTGATATTCATTCATCTATGTTTACCACTATATTTTATGAATTTTTATGATAAACTCTGTTAAAATAACCCTTCTAACTATAGTTATGGTAAAGAAACCCAAAAAACCTAAACTAAAGCTAACCATGGTTTAAATGGAAGATGACAAGATTTATCCTAACATTTTACTATATTTAAATAAAACTGAGAAATCTAACTTACCAGACAGCCTAACCATATTTAAGGAAAAGCAAAGAAAACTAACCAACCCTTCTGCAACTCTTTAAGTTTGAAATAAAACCTAAACCTAACCATTCTGAAATGAAACTGGAGAACCTTAACCTAACTTAAGGTTTAAAATAAACAATATTTTTTGAACTAAAAGTTTACCTTTGGGCTTTCACTAAATTGCTGTATATGGATTTCATTCAAAAACTATAATTTTATTCAATTATACTTGCAGCAACAAAACACCTGGGGTCCTGGCACCAACGCATATCACCAGCAAAGATAGGTATAATTTGAATAAATTGTGCCTTTTCATTAAATTATTCAATTTGTCCAGAAAAGAATAAAGGAAATATGCTGTGAGCTACATCAGTTTACAGTGAGCTTCGCCAGTGAGTGTAATACAAGTCGGAAACTTCCATGTTTCTTGTGTGGGCAAAGTTCCCTGTAATCAGAGCGTGGGCAAAGTTCCCTGTAATCAGAGCATGGGCAAAGTTCCCTGTAATCAGAGCATGGGCAAAGTTCCCTGTAATCAGAGCATGGGCAAAGTTCCTTGTAATCAGATCATGGGCAAAGTTCCCTGCAGTCAGAGCATGAGCAAAGTTCCCTGTAATCAGAGCGTGGGCAAAGATCCCTGTAATCAGAGCGTGGGCAAAGTTCCCTGTAATCAGAGCATGAAACTTACAAGAGTACATAAACATAAGGAAAAAATCACCCTGAAAATGTTGGCTGGGTTGGATATTTTCAAGCAAGTATGATTCGACTCTTCTGATACTTTACCCAAACTTGTATTTTATCAAGCTTGAAAAGCGCATTGTAAGCATTGTACAGTGGCCTACTTGATTACCTCAGTTACAGTGCTACATGTGATTGGAAAAACATTTGTCATCTGGAAATGTTTGAGCTGGTGTGGCCAGCAGCATCAGAAGTGCTTTGCTAGTTATTTAGGTCTTTGATTCCTGGCATCTCTTTATCCTCTGTATTCCACACTAGGTATGCTTCATCTTCAGCAGACACAAGAGTTGCCATTTTTGTTTAGGTCTATGGCCATACTGCGTTCAGGGCAGGGAATTGCCATCTCTGCACATTCCGTAGTTTAGGACCTTTCATTATTCTGCACATGGGGGTCATTTTGCATCAGTTACAAGATGACTGGCAGAGACTTGATCTGCTAGAGTTGCTCAGATGCTGTTGTTAATCAGTATACCTCAGGTTTCTGACAATCTTCCTTTCATTGTAGGGAAACTTCATCACATCTTGCCAACAAGTAACATATTGTATAGTTTTGTTTATCAGGGTACACACTCTTTATTTTCAACATCTTTACTATTTTGACATGTTTGTGCTGCCTGCCTTCCTCTCTCTCTCTCTCTCTCTCTCTCTCTTTCTCCCCAATATTAATACAGATTCTCTCTGATCTTTTAACAGGTTAATTACACTGACTGTATCTTCCTCTTGCCCTTATGCTGACCCTTGACACCTATAACTCTTTCCTTCTGCCATCCTCCTCACCTGTTCTTTGCAGCACTGAATGAACCACATGGGTTTAGCACTCCCCATGAATATTATAATCATGTCCAACATTGATGTTGACATAGGCACTAGTATGTATTTGTCTTTGTCTCTAAACGTAGCTCTTTATATGAACGTGAAATATTTTTGTGGCACCTTAGCAGGAGTGATATTTACAGTGGCTGAAGCCCCCCAAAAAACTAAAGTAACTCAAATGAAATATTCTTGTTAATGTCACACGTGAGTATTTTTCTAAAATTTCTGTCCTAGATGTCATCTACCTGCAAATAATACTCTTTACACAAATAACCCGCACATACAAGAGAGGAGCTTACGACGACGTTTCGGTCCGACTTGGACCATTTACAAAGTCACACTAGCCAGAAGTGGAGCAGGGCGGCTATATATAGGTAGTAGTAGTAGTAGCCGCCGCCGCCGGTGGTCAAATATAAAGAAAGGGGAGCACTGCAAGGGAGCTAGGTGCTCACAGAGGGAGAGCAAGTGCACAGAGGTGGGGGGAAGGGGAAGTGATGAAATAAATAATGAAGCAACAGAAACATGCAATAGAAGAAAGACAAAAAAAAAGGAAAGGGGAAGAGGGAGAAGAAGAAAAAATGAGGAATCAGGTTAAGTCACGGGTGTTCTGAAGTTTGGAGCATTTTACAATGTAGTGGGAGAGGAAGGCATCTACAGAGATGAAGCCAGGACTAAGATTCATACAAGGAAAGTTTGGAGAAACTGGCCGATCTCTTTCTGACAGACTTGGGAGCACAAAAATAGTGTTAGGCTTGCCGACACTAACAATGCTCTTTTCTGTCACGTCAGAGATCACAGCCATCCTATAGACTGGTCTTCTGCTAAAACTGTCTTCCCTACTTCCAACTTTAACAGTCGCCGTCTGGTTGAATCCTCTCTAATACACAACTTTCCTTGTATGAATCTTAGTCGTGGCTTCGTCTCTGTAGATGCCTTCCTCTCCCACTACATTGTAAAATGCTCCAAACTTCAAAACACCCATGACTTAACCTGATTCCTCATTTTTTCTTCTTCTCCCTCTTCCCCTTTCCTCTTTCCTTTTTTTTTTCTTTCTTCTGTCGTGTGTTTCTGTTCCTTCATTATTTATTTCATCACTTCCCCTTCCCCCCACCTCTGTGCACTTGCTCTCCCTCTGTGGGCACCTAGCTCCCTTGCAGTGCTCCCCTTTCTTTATATTTGACTGGCTCCTCCTCCTTAGTTCCCCACCTGCTGCTGCTGCTGCTGCTGCTGCTGCTGCCGCTGCTGCTGCTGCTGCTGCTGCTGCTGCTGCTGCTGCTGCTGCTGCTGCTGCTGCTGCTGCTGCTGCTGCTGCCGCCGCCGCCGCCGCTGCCGCTGCCCGCCCTGCCGCCGCTGCCGCCGCCGCCGCCTCTTCCTGCCTATACATATAGCCATCCTGCTCCACTTCTGGTTAGTGTGACTTTGTAAATGGTCCAAGTCGGACCGAAATGTCATCGTAAGCTCCTCTCTTGTATGTGCGGGTTATTTGTGTATCGTTCCAGTCACGGTATTGTCTTTTTTTGTTAATAATACTCCTTTCTTGTAAAAACTGTACAAATTTTTTTTTTCTTTTTTTGTAAAATACTGATGTACATTGTCATCACTAAGTTTGTTATTTGTGATGGTAAATTGTGTTACTTGAAGAAAAGATAAATACTTTATGTATAAAACAGAATCAAATTTACTCAAATTATTAAAAAAAAATTTCTTGTATAGTATAACTTATGTGTTGTAAATTCTGTGCTTAGCCATCATTTGCTAATACATAGTACTCAATATTTTCACCAGTTTGACTGATGTACTGTAATTATGATAATGTTACTTGTAGGAAAGTATTACAATTAACTATCACTTCAAATATTAGAAATGAATAAACTCTTTAGTGTGTTTTCACTATACAGAGTGGCTGCCTTGGGAGTGGACATACAACACGTTACCGTGGCTCACCGTGAATCTCACTTGGTTGGGCGTGATCCACGAACTGGTGCTCCTCATGAAGAAGAACCACTGACTGTATGCACTATCCCAGCTAAGTGGCCTGGTAGGATTTTAGATTACATTTTTGCTGTCGAAGTGGCTAGTTTATTGTGCACCTCATATCCATCCTGTGGAGGGTAGTGCAAGAACATATGGATATGCAAAAGGCCTAGAAACCAGGCTTGATCCTCTCTGTGTTAATTGCAAGACAGACACGCCACTTAACTGTGCTCACCTACTCAGGGTTGTTTATTTCTCATCCACGATATAGTATATTCTCTATGGGTAAGTGGAAAAGAATCCTCCATACTTAAGCCATACATGTCGTAAGAGATGACTAACATGCCGGAGCAAGGAGCTAGTAACCCCTTCTCCTGTATACATTACTAAAGTTAAAATGTGTGGCGTAAATATTATGCAGAAAATTCAGAGTGTGGAAATTAGGAGAAGGTGTGGAGTTAAATAAAGGTATTAGTCAGAGGAGTGATTGGTGGAATGATGAAGTAAAGGGTGTGATAAAAGAGAAAAAGGTAGCTTGTGAGAGGTTTTTACAAAGCAGAAGTGTTATAAGAAGAGCAGAGTATATGGAGAGTAAAAGAAAGGTAAAGAGAGTGGTGAGAGAGTGCAAAAGGAGAGCAGATGATAGAGTGGGAGAGGCACTGTCAAGAAATTTTAATGAAAATAAGAAAAAATTTTGGAGTGAGTTAAACAAGTTAAGAAAGCCTAGGGAAAGTATGGATTTGTCAGTTAAAAACAGAGTAGGGGAGTTAGTAGATGGGGAGATGGAGGTATTAGGTAGATGGCGAGAATATTTTGAGGAACTTTTAAATGTTAAGGAAGAAACAGAGGCAGTAATTTCATGCACTGGTCAGGGAGGTATACCATCTTTTAGGAGTGAAGAAGAGCAGAATGTAAGTGTGGGGGAGGTACGTGAGGCATTACGTAGAATGAAAGGGGGTAAAGCAGCTGGAACTGATGGGATCATGACAGAAATGTTAAAAGCAGGGGGGGATATAGTGTTGGAGTGGTTGGTACTTTTGTTTTAATGAACGTATGAAAGAGGGGAAGGTACCTAGGGATTGGCGGAGAGCATGTATGGTCCCTTTATATAAAGGGAAAGGGGACAAAAGAGACTGTAAAAATTATAGAGGAATGAGTTTACTGAGTATACCAGGAAAAGTGTACAGTAGGGTTATAATTGAAAGAATTAGAGGCAAGACAGAATGTAGGATTGCGGATGAGCAAGAAGGTTTCAGAGTGGGTAGGGGATGTGTAGATCAAGTGTTTACATTGAAGCATATATGTGAACAGTATTTAGATAAAGGTAGGGAAGTTTTTATTGCATTTATGGATTTAGAAAAGGCATATGATAGTGGATAGAGGAGCAATGTGGCAGATGTTGCAAGTATGTGGAATAGGTGGTAAGTTATTAAATGCTGTAAAGAGTTTTTATGAGGATAGTGAGGCTCAGGTTAGGGTGTGTAGAAGAGAGGGAGACTACGTCCCGGTAAAAGTAGGTCTTAGACAGGGATGTGTAATGTCACCATGGTTGTTTAATATATTTATAGATGGGGTTGTAAAGGAAGTAAATGCTAGGGTGTTCAGGAGAGGGGTGAGATTAAATTTTGGGGAATCAAATTCAAAATGGGAATTGACACAGTTACTTTTTGCTGATGATACTGTGCTTATGGGAGACTCTAAAGAAAAATTGCAAAGGTTAGTGGATGAGTTTGGGAATGTGTGTAAAGGTAGAAAGTTGAAAGTGAACATAGAAAAGAGTAAGGTGATGAGGGTGTCAAATGATTTAGATAATGAAAAATTTGATATCAAATTGGGGAGGAGGAGTATGGAAGAAGTGAATGTTTTCAGATACTTGGGAGTTGACGTGTCGGCGGATGGATTTATGAAGGATGAGGTTAATCATAGAATTGATGAGGGAAAAAAGGTGAGTGGTGCGTTGAGGTATATGCGGAGTCAAAAAACGTTATCTATGGAGGCAAAGAAGGGAATGTATGAAAGTATAGTAGTACCAACACTCTTATATGGGTGTGAAGCTTGGGTGGTAAATGCAGCAGTGAGGAGACGGTTGGAGGCAGTGGAGATGTCCTGTTTAAGGGCAATGTGTGGTGTAATTTTAGCAGAAAATTCGGAGTGTGGAAATTAGGAGGTGTGGAGTTAAAAAAAAGCTTAGCAGAGGCAGAAGAGGGTTGTTGAGGGGGTTTGGTCATTAGGAGAATGGTCAAAGGAATGCTTGGAAAGAATAAATCTATGGGAAGGAAGGCGGGGTGGGGGTCGTCCTCGAAAGGGTTGGGAGAGGGGGGGGTTTTAAAGGGGGTTTTTGGGGGCAAGGGGGCTTGGATTCCAGAAGCGTGCGGAGGGTTAGTAGGATAAATGGGACGAATGGTATTTGGGGATGCGATCTGTTGGGTGTGGCGGGTAATATTTAGTAAAGGGGATTGGGGGAAAACCGGTTTTTTCTATAGTGGGACTTAGTCGGGAAATGGGAAGTTCCTGCACTTAAGAACATAAAAAACAAAGAAGGAGGACGCTGCGGGGCCTGTGGCCCATATGGCAGGTCCTTTCAATTCATCCCACTAACAAAACTTTGCCAACCCAATTTTCAATGCCACCCAAGAAAAAAGCTCTGATGTAAAAGCCCCACTCAATCCAACCCCTCCCATCATGTACTTACCCAACCTAGATTTGAAATCCCCAAACCCCAGCCTCAAAAACCCCAAACTAGGAAAAATGTTCCACTCTCAACTACCCTATTTCCCAAAACCAAAATTTTCCTATGCCCTTTTTAAATCTAAATTATCTAATTTAAACCATTACTGCGGATTTCTTTTGGGAGAGACATCCTCAGACCTTATTAATACCTTTTATTAATCCTATCTTCCACTTGTACTTTTCGATCAGGTCCCTCATTTTTCGTTAACAAGTAAAAGTAACTTAAGGTTTTCAATCTTTTTATAAGGAAGATTTCTAATGCTTGTATTAATTTAGCATCCACGCTAATGTTTTCTAACAATTTATGCCCCTTTTTGTAATACGGAGACCAGAATGAGCTGCATAATCTGGGTGAGGCCTTCAAAGATGTATAAAGCTGCGTAGCCCTTTTGGACTTCTTTTGTTAAAATTCTTGATAAAAACCCCAGTAATCTTTTCCCTTTTATTCGTACACTTAGGCATTGCTGTTTTGGGTTTTTAGGTTGCTGTTCACCAAAACCCCCCAATCTTTTCGAAAATCTGTATGGCTAAGTTCTACCATTTAACTTTAATTTTGGGTTATGGGCACTCCAAGTTCAAAAATTGCATTTATCAAATTGAACTGCATCGCCACTTTTCTGCCCAAAGAATAGAGTTTGTTTAATCCCCCTAAATTTCCATAAATCACTTTGAAAAATTATCCTACCTTTTTTGTGTATCGGCGAATTTTCTCTATCGCTAGTAATTCCCTCTCGTTTTGATATAATTTAAAAACAACAAGGCCCCCAAGTGATCCCGGGGGAACCCCACTTGTTACGACCCCCCATGGGGACTTAACCCCTTTATGGACACTTGCTTCTGTCATAAACATGATCGACCCACGGAGCACTTTTCCCCCAATGCCATGAGCTGCATTTTTCTTTAACAGTCTTTGGTGCGGAACCTATAAAAAGCCTTACTAAAATCAAAGGGTAAAAAATATTGAATTCTTTATTGTGGTAAACCCTCAAAAGCTTTATGAAGAAATTTAAAATTAGTTAGACAAGCCGGCCTCTTGTGAACCATGCTGAGATCATTAATCAAGCTTGCTTACGGGGGATGGCTTTTATAATTCAGCTAAAATTTGACTTAAAATTTGCCTACAATTGAGGTCAGGCTTATTGGGCAAATTTGACGGTAACGATTGTCCCTTTTTTTAAAATGGAATTACATTACCCATTTTCCACATATCGACACTCACCTTTTGAAGAGAAAATTAAAAATATTGTTAATGGTTCACGATTTCCATTTGCATTCCTTAAAAACCCCTTGAAAAAACCTCATCAGGCCCCGGCGACTTTTTTGTTTCTTCTGTTATCTGCTTAAAACCATCTCACTAGTGACTGTGATGTTACATAATTTATCTTCTTCAGATCCACTTAAAAAATTTAAATTTACCAGAAATATTAGGTTTCCTGTGTAAAAACTGAGAGAAAAAAATTTATTTAAATCAAGCACATTTTTTCTTTGCAAAAGGTCCCCCTAGTTATTTTTAAGGTGCCCATTTATCTCAAATTTTTGTTCTATGACCTGGAAAAAAACTTTTTGGTTATTTAAAATCCCTAGCAATTTTAAATTTCTAGCCCCTTTTAGTTTTTCTTTTTTTTTTAAATGTCCCTCTTAATGTCAAATACTGATTCATAAGGACCCTCCCCTTTTTGTACCCCCAAAAAATTTCCTTTTTCTTATCCCCCTAGTAATTTTGAACCTATTTTTTCATCCTTTTTGGGTCATTTCTATTTGACTTAATTTTTTATATGGGAAAACGCTCTTTGAGAGCTTTAAAGTTTTCAAAAACTGTCATATTGATAGCTCTCTTGTTTCCCCCCTCAACAGATGTAAGTGTTCTCTAAGCCCCTGTAATTTGCTAAGCGAAAATCTGGGACTGTTACGATTATCGTACTAAGTATTCCATTCAATCTAAAAGTAATTATTTTTTGGGCGCGCACCCCGTTCCTTGAAATTTCTAAAATTTTTAAAAGGGGTTCTTTTTGCCATAAAATAAGTCAGCAGGTTATTTCCCTTTTATTCTGTACAAACTGCTTTAAAAAAAACAACTGAAATACTTTAAAAAAGCGTTGATTTTAAATTCCCAGTCAAAAATTCCAATCAAAATGACTAAAGTTAAAATCTCCTGAATTTCTCAATTTGGCCTTGTGGGCCCTTAAAAATTTCTCCATAGTAGTTTCCCTTGGTCCCATCTAAGTTTGGAGCGGTATATCCTCCTAAAAACAGTTTTTTTTGCCCCTCTGAAAATTCATCCCCAAAAAAACTCCGTATGGTGACTTTAGAATTAAAACCCCTTTTTTTTCAACAGTTTTAACGATCTCGGAATACAATGCCCCCCACCCCCTTCCCAAAACTTCTTCTTTTTGGGGCAATTTAAAACCCCCAATATGACATTCCGCAGGATGTCCCGACTTTTTTATTAAACCACGTCTAGTTAAGGCAAAAACATCAATGTTACCTGCACTAGCAACTAAACTAAATCGTCCTTTTTCCTAGCACTCAGCAATTGCATAAAAACATTGAAAGACTCTCCCTTTTTCTTTACCCCTTCCTGCTCATTTTTTATTTTTCTACTAAACCTATTCCCTTTCCTTTTTCACCCCAAAGGGCCCCGGGTTTTCAATATCTTCCTGTTCTTTTTATTACGTTCCCCCAGAACTGAATATTACTCAATGGGGCTTTACTGTTTTCCCCAGCAAAAAACCCATACCCCTAACTACTCCTAGTTTAAAGTCCTAAATGTCCCTCCACTGCAGTTGCCAGGCTCCACCCCACACCCAATAAGTGAACCCCTCCCGGCAAAATGTCTTTCTGCCAAGAAGAGGTCCCAGTTGCAATGAAGACTGCATTTTCCTTAAATATTTTTCCGCCCCAATTGACACCATTGCCCTGGACAAACCATTCACTTCCAACTCCCCTCCTTGGGAAAAAACCCATTTTTAAGGGTTCCCCCCCCTTACTCCTAATTATTTTATTGCTGACCTTCCCCGCTTAGGTCTTCACTCCTACGTCTGCCAAAGTTCCTCCAGCCTGAGACAGAAATAGGATTACTCCCATTACCTCTCATGATGTCATCCAACGGGTAGCAATTCCTCCATCCGCCCCCGGAAAGCAAACTCTGTCCCTATCCCTTCCCTTCAAGCAGAAAAGCCCTTCCCTATACCTTTTCTTGGGTATCCCCAACAACAACAATATTCGTACCTTTCCTTGGTGTGTTCGTCGGAAAGTTCCCCGTAGTCGACTCAATTCGTCGGGGAGCACTGAGAATGTATTAGATGTTTCCACAACTTTTCCCCGGCAGTTCTTTCTTCTTCATCGTTTTTAAACCCTTTCCCTTCGTCTTCTTGACGTAAAAATTTTTCCCCGCTGTCCAGCCACTGCCAGTTTCCCCTTTTGACCTGAGGCTCAAAACAGGGGGACTACTACGAATCTTTTTGTTTTCCTCGGTCAGTCGCGGGAAATTTTCCTATTCGCCACCCAATTCTTCCTTAAGCTGTTGGTAAAGTTGCTCGAGGAGGGCATCTTGTTCAATTCTAGGAGCGCGCAAACAGGTCTTACAGACCAAGTACACGTCAACACTGCGCAAAAGCCAACCAATCAGGAGCTACTGCGCGCACGCCCCACGGCCCAAGAGATGCAACACTCAACAGCGATGGAGGGGTTTGGGGTATTGGCAGTTTGGAGGGTATGTTGGTATCTTTATATGTGTATGTTCTAAACTGTTGTATTTGAGCACCTCTGCAAAAACGTGATAATGTGCGAGTGTGGTGAAATGTTGAATGATGATGAAAGTATTTTTTTTTGGGGGTTTTCTTTTCTTTTTTTTGGGCACCCTGCCTCGGTGGGAGACGGCCACTTTTTGAAAAAAAAAAAATTAGTGAGGGGTTTTAGGGGGTTGTTGAGGGGGTTTGGTCGTTTAGAAGTATATCAAGTAAATGACATGGAGAGCATGTAAATCTGTAGGGGGGGAAGGTGGGTTTGGGGTTTTCCTTGAAAAGGTTGGGGGAAGGATAAAGGAGGTTTTGTGGATGAGGGGCTTTGGGCTTCCCGCAAGCGTGATGAGCGGTTGATAGGGTAATGGAGACGAATGGATTTGGGACCCAATGAGTGTTGGAGTGTGCCAGGGTAATATTTAGTGAAGGGATTAGGGAAACTCAGTTTTTTTATATATCCGGCTTGAGTCCCGGAAATGGGAAGTACAAAAGCCTGCCTTTAAAGGAGGGGTTGGGTATTGGCGTTTGGAGGGATATTTGTGTATCTTTATATGGTGCTTTTTAAATGTTGTATTCTGAGCACCTTGCAAAACAGGATTATGTTAAGTGAGGGAAAATGTTGAAGATGATGAAAGTTTTTCTTTTTGGGGATTTTCTTATTTTTTGGGTCACCCTGCCTCGGTGGGAGACGGCCGTCTTGTTAAGAAAGAAAAAGAGAGAAACTTTTGTTTTTCTTTCGGCCAAACCTACCTCGGGGGTGTGGCCAGTTTGTTGAAAAAGAATTTGTTTTTGATCAATTTTGAATTTATTTTAAATATGAAAGTGTACAAAATTTTATGTAGTATACTTTATACATAAGTGAGAACCTGGTCATTTACCATATTCTTTCTGCAGGTGTGACTTCACTCTTAGCCTTGGTTGCTCGAGAACGTGATGAAGACACCCCAAAGCTAAATCTTCTTCTTTGTGAAGCATTTGTTGCTGTGTACCTAAGTCTTCTAATACACGGTTTAGTAGCAAGCGATGCCTATGTTCTGTACCGTCTTGTTGCTCGCCCAATAACAGAAAAAGACTGGGCAACACTCTTTGGAGGGGGCGTTAAAAAGCAGCTCAAAGTTATCACCAATGTTTTACCTGTAAGTTGATGTTTGACCTGGAAATTCAGGGAAAATTCAGGGGATGCAAATGTCATGATGAATAATTATTATCATTCCTGACATCTTGTCATTTTTGATACAGTGATGTAATTTTCCCTAGAAAACTTAGCTCTTTAACTGCTATGTTGACAATATGATAAATAAAGTGGTTAAGATAGGCAGTGTGTAATGGGATGTATCATTTAATTGAGAAACTATTTTGTTTAGAGTCAAAGCTCTGTGGAGAGAGAAGGCACTGGTGGGGCTTCAGTAAGTGGAGAAAGAATTTTGTCTACAATATCAAACCTTCATAAGACTCGCATAAAGTTCAACATGAAACTTTTGGGTCAGTTGGGTTTCCAAGACCCACGTGGCTTCTCTAGTGATGGGGAAACCAAGCCAGCGTACAGGGAGCAGTTCTTGCCTCCTGAAATGTCCATTGTGTCACTCCTCATGAAGAAGGTAGGTACTGGCTCTTATCTTTTTTTGTATGTGAATGATAGACTCTGTAAAATGCATTAAAAATTCTGCTTGTACTGTACTCCATCATTATCCATGCAAGTCATGTTTGCAAGTGCACCAATTTTTGTGTTGCTCACTGTTTGTTAATTGTTTTATGACCAGCTGTCTGTGGCTTGGCTCACAGATCTGTCCTGTGCACTACATTATGGCATTGGCTTCTGTCTATAGTATTTAGCCTTATATATTTAGTGCTTTCAATAAATGACAGAATTTTCTAACAAGTCTATACAGTGGACCCCCGGTTAACGATATTTTTTCATTCCAGAAGTATGTTCAGGTGCCAGTACTGACCGAATTTGTTCCCATAAGGAATATTGTGAGGTAGATTAGTCCATTTCAGACCCCCAAACATACATGTACAAACACACTTACATAAATACACTTACATAATTGGTCGCATTGGGAGGTGATCGTTAAGCGGGGGTCCACTGTACTTGTCTTCATTCTCAATATTGGTGATTCTCGGAATCATAATACTCGGCCTTATAATATTGTCAGGAATGAGTTTGTGTGTTCAGTATTATCTGCATTATCCTCCTCTGTGGAAGATTTTGCATTATTTTATCCGTGTTCATTTATAGTCATTGACTTACTTTATTAAATAGTCTTTAGTTAAAATTTTTTAAGGGTCGTACTTATTATTTTAATCCTTGTCGACTTTCTTTAAAGCTAATTTTCATGGCCTGTTTGAAACTAATTTTTAAAAAAGATAGTTTTGGAGGGAGGGTTTATTTTGTTAAAAAATTAAACCCTATTAAATGATGCAATAAAAGGGGGAAACTTATCATCGGGGCCCCTTTCGGGGGCCCCTTAAGGGGGGTCCCTTCAGGTGGCCCCCTTCAAAGGTGGTCCCTTCAAGGTGGCCCCTTTTCAAGGGGGCCCCCCTTAAGGTGGCCCCCTTCAAGGAACCCTTAAAAGGGGGGGTTCCTTCAAGGCAAAATTTTTTGGTGTTGTAAGAGCTCTTGGTAAAGCAGTAAAAGTTATCCTTTTTTCCTTGGCTCAGCATCTTTATCTCAAAATTCCTCAGGGTTGTATATCCCTAAAATTTTTGCACTTCACCCTGACTATATACAGTAATTAAACCCCCAATTGTAAAAAATTAGTATCAGTGTCAGATACGTTAGTAAACAAAGTTCATACCATTTGTTATGGTTTTTATCTTTTTTTTTTGCAGCCTGCATTCCCAGTGATTTTGAAAACTTTGTTATGATTCTTTGCGGGATACTGAAGTGTTGATGTAGATTATGAGGAGGATGAAGTTTTTTTCAAGGAGCCCCAAAGGGAATTATTAAACTACTTGTGTTAGCAAAAATTTTAAAAAAACTTGTCGGTGTTTTCCATCAGCACTTGGAAGTTCTTCAACCAGACACAACTTGCAGTGACTGGTGGAGCATCACTTCCATCAGTACTAGGAAGTTCTTCAACCAGACACAACTTGCAGTGACTGGTGGAGCATCACTTCCATCAGTACTTGGAAGTTCTTCAACCAGGGGCACAACTTGCAGTACGGGGAGCATCATTCCATAGTCTTGGGGAAATTCTTCAACCAACACAACTTTCAGTGACTGGAGAGCATCACTTCCATAGTATAGAATTTCTTCAACCCCCGAACAAAATTGCAGTGACTGAGGCATCACTTCCTCAGTTCTTGGAATTCTTCAACAGACACAACTTGCAGTGACTGGTAAGCATCACTTTCCCCAGTACTTGGAAAATTTTTCAACCCGACACAACTTGAGTGACTGGGAGAGCATCATTCCATAGTACTAGGAAGTTCTTCAACAGACAAACTTTCAGGACTGGTGGGAAACACCCTTTATCAGCACTTTGGGAAATTTTTTTTCACCAGACACAAAATTGAGTGACTGGGAAGGGACCTTCCATCATATTGGGAAATTCTTCAACCAGACACAACTTGCAGTGCTGGTGGGGATCATTCCCTCAGTACTTGGAAGTTTTTCAACCAGCCAACTTGCAGTGTGGTAGGCATCACTTCCATTGTACAGGAAGTTCTTTAACCAGAACAACTTGCAGTGGGTGGAGCATCACTTCCCTCAACTAGGAAAATTTTCAAAACCGACACAACTTTCAGTTGGTAGAGTCACTTCCTTTTGTACTAGGAAGTTCTTCAACCAGACACAACTTGCAGTGACTGGTAGAGCTTTACTTCCTTTTATTTGGAGTTCTTCAACCCGAAAAAAACTTGCAGTGACTGGTAGAGACACTTCCATGTTTTCTTTGGGAAATTTTTCAACCAGACACAATTGCGTGAAGGTAGGCATCACTTTATCAGTATAGGGAATTTTTCAACCAGACACAACTTGCAGTGACTGGTAGAGCATCACTTCCATCAGTACTTGGAAGTTCTTCAACCAGACACAACTTGCAGTGACTGGTAGAGCATCACTTCCATCAGTACTTGGAAGTTTTTTCAACCAGACACAAAATTGCAATGACTGGTAGAGCATCACTTTCCCTCAGTACTTTGGGGTTTTCAACCCGAACAACTTGAGTGACTGGTGAGCATCACTTCCACAGATAGGGGTTCTTCAACCAGACACAATTTCAGGACTGGTAGGCATCATTCATCGTATTTTGGAAGTTTTCAACCAGACACAACTTGCAATGACTGGGGGAGCATCACTGTCCCTAAGCTTTTTACTGTATGAGCATAAGGCCAAAAGACATTATTTTCTTAAAAGTAATTTTATCCATACAAATTAGTTTTCATTTTTCATACCCCTTCTTTTTTTTAAGTGTCATAATGCATGGATGCAGAGCCTTGAAAGGTTCCAGTATACTTCATTATTAAAATCAGTCATACTGGGGATACTTGCAAGTGATGGCAATGAGCACAGTAAGATGGAATAAATTTGCAAAAAGTAAATGTCCCCTTTTTGCCCTTTTTTGATTACTTTTTAAAGAAAGTACATCTTGGGTTTAGTTTACATTGTAAATTTTTTTTTTTCCGTGGTTTGCATATAAATCTATTTTTGATTCTGTCACCACTCTGTGGAAAAATTTCATATTATTTTTTCTTTTTATATTTTCATTTTTATAAGTTTACAATAGGGTCTCTTGTCGTCTTATTGAGGGTTTTTAAAAGTGACGTATTAATTCTTGTAACTTTCAAAAATCTTAAAAATGGTTATGTCTACTCTTTTCCCCCCATTTGCAATGTCTGGACATTTTGTTTATTTTTCATTTATTTACTGTTTAAGTATAGACACCAGACTATAGTTACACATTGATAATTTGGTATAACATATATTGTTTAGGGGTTGTTGAGGTGGTTTGGTTATTTAGAGAGGATGGAGTAAAATAGGGTGACTTGGAGGGTATGTAAATCTGTAGTGGAGGGGAGAAGGGGTAGGGGTCATCCTAGGAAAGGATGGAGGGAGGGGGTAAAAGAGGTTTTGTGTGCAGGGGGTTTGAACATACAGCAGGTATGTGTGAGTGTGTTAGGAGTGGAGACAAATGGATTTTTGAACCTGATGAGCTGTTGGAGTGTGAGCAGGGTAATATTTTGTGGAGTGATTTAGGGAAACCTGAAGGTGGGAAGTACAGTGCCTTCATTTTAAAGGAGGGGTTTGGGATAGTTGCTGTTTGGAGTGACATCTGAACTGTTGTATCTGTGTGCCTCTGCAAAGAGTGATTGTGTGAATGATGGTGAAAGTGTTTCTCTTTTTGGGTCACCCTACCTCAGTGGGAGACGACCAGCATGTTAAAAAAAATATATATATATTGTTTAATGGCAAGAATTTTTATACTGTTAAATTCATGTAATTTTAAAGGTAGTAGGTTGGTAGACAGCAACCACCCAAGGAGGTACTACTGTCCTGTGGTAGTAGGTTGGTAGACAGCAACTGCTCAGAAGATACTACTGTCTGTGGTAGTAGGTTGGTAGACAGCAACTGCTCAGGAAGATACTACTGTCCTGTGGTAGTAGGTTGGTAGACAGCAACTGCTCAGGAAGATACTACTGTCCTGTGGTAGTAGGTTGGTAGACAGCAACTGCTCAGGAAGATACTACTGTCCTGTGGTAGTAGGTTGGTAGACAGCAACTGCTCAGGGAGGTACTACCGTCCTGTGGTAGTAGGTTGGTAGACAGCAACTGCTCAGGAAGATACTACTGTCCTGTGGTAGTAGGTTGGTAGACAGCAACTGCTCAGGAAGATACTACTGTCCTGTGGTAGTAGGTTGGTAGACAGCAACTGCTCAGGAAGATACTACTGTCCTGTGGTAGTAGGTTGGTAGACAGCAACCACCCAAGGAGGTACTACTGTCCTGTGGTAGTAGGTTGGTAGACAGCAACTGCTCTAGGGAGGTACTACCGTCCTGTGTAGTAGGTTGGTAGACAGCAACTGCCCAGGAAGGTACTACTGTCCTGTGGTAGTAGGTTGGTAGACAGCAACCACCCAAGGAGGTACTACTGTCCTGTGGTAGTAGGTTGGTAGACAGCAACTGCTCATGGAGGTACTACCGTCCTGTGGTAGTAGGTTGGTAGACAGCAACTGCCCAGGAAGGTACTACTGTCCTGTGGTAGTAGGTTGGTAGACAGCAACCACCCAGTGAGGTACTACCATCCTGTTGTAGTAGGTTGGTAGACAGCAACCGCCCAGGGAGGTACTACCGTCCTGCCAAGTGAATGTAAAATGAAAACCTGTAATTGTTCTACATGATGGTAGGATTGCTGGTGTCCTTTTTTCCATCTCATAAACTTGCAAGATTTCAGGTACGAACTTGCTACTTCTACTTACACTTAGGTCACACTACATTTATATGAACAAGCATATATATACACCCCTCTGGGTTTTCTTCTATTTTCTTACTAGTTCTTATTCTTGTTTATTTCCTCTTATCTCCATGGAGAAGGGAAACAGAATTCTTCCTCTGTAAGCCATGCGTGTTGTAAGAGGCGACTAAAATGCCGGGAGCAATTGGCTGGTAATCCCTTCTCCTGAATAAATTACTAAATTTAAAAAGAGAGACTTTCGTTTTGGGGCCACCCTGCCTTGGTGAGATACAGCTGGTTTGTTGAAAAAAAAAATTCATGTAATTTAGGCAGCCGGCCTCCAGCAGCAACAGCTTGGTTGACCAGGCAAGCACCAGACAAGCCTGGCCCATGGCCGAGCTCAGAGAGTAGATACTCTCGAAATTCTTCAAAGGTATATCAAAGGTATAGTGATTTGTTTATGATTACTCCCAGATCCCTTTATTTGAATGATACATTTAACCCCTTGACTGTCGCAACCCCCAATCCTGATGTGTCTCCTGGTGTCGCAAAATTTAAAAAAAAAATTAATTTTTCTTATGAAATGATAGAGAATCTTTTCCTGATTGTAATGACACCAAAAAAACGAAATTTGATGGAAAATTGACGGAATTATGCTCTCGCGAAGTTAGCTACCTCAACGATATTTACAAATCGGCGATTTCGCCCACTTTGAGCCCTATTTTCGGCTAATTCCATTGTTCCAGTCGACCAATCTCATAGCTATTTCTTTAGGACTCCATTTTCTCTATAGATTGAGTACAAGAAACTGCCCATTTACCGATTTCAACTACCCAATAACGTGGTCAGAAATTTGCAATTTGGCCAATTTCACGAAAATTAAAAAATATGACAATTTCAAAATACAGTATAATTCAAAATAAGGTCCAGAATGAACAATGCAGACATTCCTGGCTCTAAAATAACATTTTCTTTGCTCATCAGTCATGTCTCCAGGCCCCTCTGATATTACTCTTGCTTTCTATTTTGAAATTTTATTCAAACAAAAATTAGAAGACTTACTATTATGTAGACTACTGCAATACTGTAATAATTGTATAAATAACATCAACCCATTCATGACTGCATATTAGAATGGCTAGTTGGACATTTATTGGACAATGACATCATTTGTTTACTTTTGAACATCGGCAAAAACCAAACATTTCCCCTACTTTGAGCTCCATTTCCAGGTTCTTTTTATAGTAAAATCAATCAAAATCACCTCTATTTCTATAACATGTTTTCCATTCTATCAAATGAGACCAAGAAAACGAGAATACAACCATAAATACTATATGAAAATAGACCACATATTTGGCATTTTAATTAAAAAAAAGGTCTGAGTTTTTTTTTTTCTCATTATGCACCAGGATTTTTTTTATATGGTGCACACTGACCACACAGACCCATTCTCTCACATGTGGGCCTACCAGCTTTCTCCTGCTTGATTTGAAGCCGCTAGAATTTGAGTATATATACGTCAAACACTGTACCTCGTAAGACTTGTATATACAGCCGCGACAGTCAAAGGGTTAAGTGATGGAGTGAATGATAGTGAAAGTGCTTCTTTTTTTTTGGGTCACCCTGCCTTGGTGGGAGATGACTGGTGTGTTGAAAAAAAATTGTGTATGTTTATTGTGTAATTGTTAGTTTCTTTTTATTTGTATTACGTATTTACATATGTTTTGCATACATTAAATCGTGTATTTGTTTTTTCTTGATTAGGTGTTGACGGAAAACACAGAGCACAGTGATGCAGATTCCTATTCTTGGTGCTTACTGAGGCTAGCCACTCTTCGTGCAGCCAAGATGGTGGTAGGACGCTTCCTTGAAGTTGCTGGGGTCGAGTTACTTGGTAAGGGAAAAAAAGGTACACAAACACACACACTCTCTCCTCTCTTAACTACTGTGCATCTGATCTCTCTCTCTCTCTCTCTTGTAGTGCTACAGTAGTGCATAGTTGGCTACACCTCACGGACATTTAGCTACATAATGGTTTTGTGTAATATACAGTGGTAATTCACAAAGAACCCTTACTTAGAGAGGAAACTTAAGATGGCATTCTGTCTATCCTTGACCATTATCAAATCACAACTGAGCAAGGAAAAGCAGAGAAGACCAGAAGATGGGTTGGAGAGATGGAAGCAGGAATTAGCTGTAGTAGTAGTAATATTAGTATTGTAGTAGAAATAGTAGCAGCAGCAGTAGTAGTAGTAGTAATAAAAGTACTGTAGTAGAAATACAGTGGACCCTTGACCAGCGATGGCATCGATTAACGATAAATCTGACTAGCGATACATTTTATCGCAAAAATTTTGCCTCGATTAACGCTAAAAAACTCTACCAACACTATTCGTTCCGTCTGAGACGCGTCCACTTCTGGCCACTGTTTACAAGCCAGCCAGCCACCGCGGTCGCTTCCAAGCATACAATCGGAACATTTCATATTATCACAGCCTTTTTAGTGATTGCACCTGCAAAATAAGTCACCATGGGCCCCAAGAAAGCTTCTAGTGCCAACCCTACAGCAAAAAGGGTGAGAATTACTATGGATATGAAGAAAGAGATCATTGCTAAGTATGAAGGTAGAGTGCGTGTCTCCGAGCTGGCCAGGCTGTACACAAAACCCCAATCAACCATCGCTACTATTGTGGCCAAGAAAACGGCAATCAAGGAAGCTGTTCTTGCCAAAGGTGCAACTATGTTTTCGAAACTGAGATCGCAAGTGATAGAAGATGTGAGAGACTGTTATTGGTATGGATAAACGAAAAAACAGATAGCAGGAGATAGCATCTCTCAAGCGATCATATGTGAAAAGGCTAGGAAGTTGCATGGCGATTTAATTAGAAAAATGCCAGCAACTAGTGGTGATGCGAGTGAATTTAAGGCCAGCAAAGGTTGGTTTGAGAGATTTAAGAATCATAGTGGCATACATAGTGTGATAAGGCATGGTGAGGCTGCCAGTTTGGACCAAAAAGCAGCTGAAAAATATGTGCAGGAATTCAAGGAGTACATAGACAGTGAAGGACTGAAACCTGAACAAGTGTTTAATGGTGACACTGACAATGTTATGAAACACTTTAGGAATGTCATAAAGGAACGGGAGGTACAGGCCTCTATGGGCAGATATGTTGTGCGACAGAGGTCCAGTGACTCTCAGGCTGGTCCTAGTGGCATTAAACCCAAAAAAGGACTTGCCACCTCAAGTCCTAATGGAAGGGGATTCCCCTTCTAAACACTTAAGACCATCAACACACTCCCCTCTTCCCATCTCATCAATCATCACCAGATCTTCTATAAAGGTAAGTGTCATGTAACTGTGCATGTCTTCTTCAGTTTGTGTGTATTAAAATTAATATTTCATGTGTTAAAAAAAAAAATTTTCAATACTTTTGGGTGTCTTGCACGGATTAATTTGATTTCCATTATTTCTTATGGGGAAAATTAACTTGACTAACGATTATTTTGACTAACGATGAGCTCTCAGGAACGGATTAATAGCGTTAGTCAAGGGTCCACTGTAGTAGCAGTAGTAATATTAGTACTGTAGTAGACATAGTAGCAGTAGTAGTAATAGTAATAGTGATTTTTTTTTTGCTGTCCATCTCCTACCAAAGTAGGTTGACGCAACAGAGAAGAAAACACTTTGTCTGTCATTCAATCACTTGTTTTGCCAGAAGGATGCTGACATCACAGTCCTGATAACCCTCCTAACTGCAACATCCCCACCCCTCCTTGAGAATGCATCCACCGCCCTTCTCACCTCCAGGACTCAAGTACCTGCTAACTTATTTCTTTGGATCCATTCATAAAAGTTACCTTACTCACACTCTAACAGCACATCACTGAAGAGCATTTTTCTACATTCACTTCTCTAACATTCGCACAAGCCTACTGGATGCTCAAGCACCTAAAAGTCAATGCCTTCTTTACCCTCATCCCTCAAATTGTTCCTTTAACAACCTCCTACCCCTCCTACTTTAGATTTATATTCTCTTCATCATGCTGTGCCTCTCTACATGCCCCAGACCATCTCAACTCCTCCTCAGTCCACTGAACTATACCCTCGGTGACCCCATGTTGCCTTTTAATTTCTGTGCTTTTAATTCTCTGCATGACATTCACACTGTACATTACTCTCAATTATGACATAAGCAGTACATGTACTCTTAATAATTATCAAAATTAACTAGCTATACATAACAATTTAGGAAGTGTAAATCATGGATTGCCTTGAAACTCAAATGCTGAATATGATTTGGCTATTTGTTTTTTCCCTTCAAGGGAGTGTCTGGATGCTGGTGGAGTCTGTTGATCCAAGGAATTGAAGCTACTTTTCCTGTGGATCATAGCTGATTACCTCCTATTCTTATGACCCTTACCTTTGAGGAGTTTCAAGAGTTTTTCTATTCCCAGAGCCCAGCCTTGGGCTAGGCTCATTTGGTGCTTGCCAGGTCAACCAGGCTGTTGCTGCTGGTATCCTGCTGACCCACTTATTAATCACAGCCTGGTTTATCTGGCACCTGGTGAAGATACTTGTCCAGTTTCCTCTTGAAGACTTCTGCACTTCCCATGAATATTATTTGTATCTTAGTTACATCAGCACATGCATATTAGATTTGCACATAATTCTTACAGTAATTCTTTTTCAGTGGATGAAAAGACATGAATAATTTTCAGTTATGACTGATAGCGTGCAATGATGCTTGCAACAATGATAGTCAATGATGCTTGCAACAATGATAGTCAATGATGCTTGCAACAATGATAGTCAATGATGCTTGCAACAATGATAGTCAATGATGCTTGCAACAATGATAGTCAATGATGCTTGCAACAATATGATAATTTATTAAAGTTACTGACTGATTTTGCTGTAGATTTTTTTCATGCAGTCTTGTCAATTAACCTTTTATAAAAATTAAATTTTATTCTGTTTTGAGGAATTGTAGTTTATGTGTATTAATCACGTTGATGTTGCTAAAGTATTTGTTCATTGGAGAAGATGTTTCAGCAACGCAGAAATTATTGGCAAATGAAATACCATAATACATTTTCTAAATTAATCCAGCAGTGATATCTTGCATACAAACTTAATGTTTCAAGGGGCTAGTAACCCTTTCCCCTGGATACATTACTAAAGTTAAAAAGAGAAACTTTCATTTTTCTTTTTAGGCCACCCTGCCTTGGTAGGATATGGCCAGTTTGATGAAAAAAAATAACATTTATGTCCACTTCTGGCAACATAACGTTCCATGAATTTTAATGTTGCACTTTATTTCAAACCATTTATTTGCATTTCATGTATAAATGATCCATCATTAAAGTGAGTGGTGCTTACAGAGTTGCCAATGCAAAGTCCACTTCTCCATTCTATTTTGCGGACTTTGGACCAGTGGCTGGATGCCCTAGTGACACACATAGAGAGCAAGAAAGGTCCTCCACCAGAGTACATTCCTGGATGCTTTGCTGAGTCTCAGGTGGTTGGGCCGGCCATTTTGAAATATCGTGGACTTTTGGAAACTCATAATACACCATTTGAGTGAGTATTATCTGTGCTTTATAGTGCTTCGCTTTACAGCACTTCACTAATTTGGACATTTCAGATTATACCCAAAAAGCTCATTTAAACAGCTCCTAATTTGCTATTATGGCATCCGTGCACCACTGTTTACATGCTCCATGAGCTCTATCTCGATTTTGTCTAGAAACTTTCCAAAGTTTCAGGACATTGAAAGTTATTATGTATATTATACTATTTTTGTGTTACAATGGCATCTAAGGGCAGATGTGATAAAAAGAGGAGTCGTAAGTGCCAAGTTACAATATATGAGCTAAGCCAGGTGAGGGAGCAGCTGAGTGTCTCACTTGTGTTGAAGACACGTTAACACAGGAAGAACGTTACTCTGGGGCACAAAATATGTCATATATTTTTGCTGTCTTATACATTTTTGATAATCCATCTGTGACATGTACTGGAGAATTGTAAAAACATGCTACATATCACGTAATAGACGGTCAAATAGACACACATTAAAAGATCCATTGTACACATATTAGACCACTTAGATGATCAACTGGGAGTGATCCTGGGTGTGTTGCCGTGATCCTGGGTGTGTTGCCGTGATCCTGGGTGTGTTGCCGTGATCCTGGGCGTGTTGCCGTGATCCTGGGCGTGTTGCCGTGATCCTGGGCATGTTGCCGTGATCCTGGGCATGTTGCCGTGATCCTGGGTGTGTTGCCGTGATCCTGGGTGTGTTGCCGTGATCCTGGGTGTGTTGCCGTGATCCTGGGTGTGTTGCCGTGATCCTGGGTGTGTTGCCATGATCCTGGGTGTGTTGCTGTGATCCTGGGTGTGTTGCCATGGTCTTGGGTGTGTTGCCGTGATCCTGGGTGTGTTGCCTTGATCCTGGGTGTGTTGCCGTGATCCTGGGTGTGTTGCCGTGATTCTGGGTGTGTTGCCTTGATCCTGGGTGTGTTGCCGTGATCCTGGGTGTGTTGCCGTGATTCTGGGTGTGTTGCTGTGATTCTGGGTGTGTTGCCATGAGCTTGGGTGTGTTGCCGTAATTCTGGGTGTGTTGCCGTGATTCCGGGTGTGTTGCCATGAGCTTGGGTGTGTTGCCATGAGCCTGGGTGCATTGCCGTGATCCTGGGCATGTTGCCGTGATCCTGGGCGTGTTGCCGTGATCCTGGGCGTGTTGCCGTGACCCTGGGTGTGTTGCCGTGATCCTGGGTGTGTTGCCGTGATCCTGGGTGTGTTGCCGTGATCCTAGGTGTATTGCCGTGATCCTGGGTGTGTTGCTGTGATCCTGGGTGTGTTGCCGTGATCCTGTGTGTGTTGCCGTGATCCTGTGTGTGTTGCCGTGATCCTGGGTGTGTTGCCATGATCCTGGGTGTGTTGCCGTGATCCTGGGTGTGTTGCCATGAGTTTTGTGTGTTGCCGTGATCCTGGGTGTGTTGCTGTGATCCTGGGTGTTGCCGTGATCCTGGGTGTGTTGCCATGATACTGGGTGTGTTGCCATGATCCTGGGTGTGTTGCCGTGATCCTGGGTGTGTTGTCGTGGTCCTGGCTGTGTTGCCATGATCCTGGGTGTGTTGCCCTGAGCCTGGTTGTGTTGCCGTGAGCAACATTTAGAACTTTGCATTTGTCAATATTAAACTGCATCTGCCACTTCTCCAACCATTGCATCAGTCTATTCAAATCATCCTGGAGTGCTCTAGTGTCCTCATTAGAATGAATTGGACGGCCTATTTTGGTGTCATCAGTAAATTTGCTTATGTCGCTATTTATTCCTTCATCTATGTCGTTTATCTAAATTGTGAACAACAACGGGCCCAATACTGACCCCTGTGGAACACCACTTGTGATGTGCCCCCATTCTGATTTCTCCACATTTATGCAAACTCCTGCTGCCTATTTGTCAGCCATGCCTCTACCCAGGAAAAAAATTCTATTCAGTGTGCCATAAGTTTCCTCAAATAGCCTCTGGTGTGGAACTCTATCGAAAGCCTTACTGAAGTCCATATACACAATATCATATTCATTACCATGATCTACCTCCTCAAACACCTTAGTGAAAAAAGTTAGTAAATTCGTAAGACAGGAACGCCCCTTTGTAAAACCGTGTTGAGATTCATTAATCAATCTGTGCCTATCAAGATGGCTACGAATTGCTTCAGCAATTATTGATTCCATAAATTTTCCCAGTATGGAGGTAAGGCTTATTGGTCTATAGTTCTAAGCCAAGGACCTGTCACCTGCCTTGTAAATAGATATTACATTTGCCATTTTCCACTTATCAGGCACTATGCCAGTTTGTAGTGATATGTTAAAAAGATTAGCCAAAGGTATGCTAAGTTCCTCTTTACATTCCTTTAACACCCTTGCAAACAGTTCATCAGGGCCTGGGGATTTGTTAGGTTTTAATTTCTCTATTTGTCTGAGGACCATGTCACTAGTTACCGCAATCGTGCATAGTTTATTATCGTCCTGTTCTACGTAATCTATTATTTCAGGAATATTGCTAGTATTTTCCTGGGTGAAAACTGAGAGGAAGTAGGTATTGAGAATTTCACACATATCCTTATCACTGTCAGTGATCTGACCAGAGTTACTCTTAAGTGGACCAATCTTGTCCCTAATCTTACTTTTGTATAACTGAAAGAACCCTTTTGGGTTAGTCTTTGAATCCCTTGCGACCTTAGCCTCATAATTCCTTTTTGCTTTTCTTATTCCTTTCTTTATTTCTCTCTTTAATTGAATATATTGATTTCTTAACTGCCCATCCCTTCTTTTGATATGCCTATATATGCCTCTCTTTTGACCAATGAGATGTTTTAATCTATTGTTCATCCATTTGGGATCATTTTTGTTAGATCTAATTTCCCTACTCAGAACAAAAGTTGTCTGGGGAGCTAGAACTATGCTCTGAAAAACGTCATATTGGCAACCAAGATCACCTACCTGACCCATAGTCAGGACATCCCAATTTAGCCCACCCAGGTAATTTTTCAGTCCCATGAAGTTGGCCAGGCGAAAATCTGGGACAGAGATTTGATTGCAGTTACGTATCTGGGTAATTCCATGATTTACTGAAACTAAGTGATTTGTGATCACTTTCCCCAAACTCATCATTAACCTCTCAAGATTATTAATTAGTGACTCTTTGTTGGCAAGAACCAAGTCAAGCAGATTGTTTCCTCTAGTTGGTTCTGTCACAACCTGTTCTAAAAAGCAATCCTGAACCGTATCAAGAAAGTCATTAGACTCAAGATTTCCTGTCATATTGTACCAATCAATTTGTTTAAAGTTAAAATCTCCCATTATCACAACATTTTCATATCTAGATGCCTTATGAATTTCATCCCATAACAGCTTACTGCACTCCCTATCAAAGTTTGGGGGCCTATAAATCACACCCAAAATTAATTTGTCACGACCCTCAAGAAACTGTAGCCAAACAGATTCTGTGTTCGATGTTTTTAATCTTATATCATGTCTAAGACAACAATTTAAATTTTCTGACATACATTGCCACTCCACCACCCTTCCTGTTGACCCTGTCAGTGTGGAATAGTTTATAACCCTGTATGTTGCATTCAGAAGGCATTTCTCTATCTTTCAGGTTGAACCAGGTCTCTGTTATACCAATAATATCTATATTACCTACACTTGCAAGTAATCTTAGCTCATCTATCTTATTTCTTAGACTCCTACTATTTGTATAGTAAACCTTAAGGGAGCTAGCCACTCGTTGCCCTCTACTATCTCTCTTTGTTTGTTGATCAATTGATTTGCCATTACTAGCAACTTTATTTTGAATATTGTCTTTTAAACATATACCTGAGGTATCCCGGTAATAACTGCTGTTTTTAACCATACCCCCGGCCGGGATTGAACCCGCGGTCATAGAGTCCGCGGGTTCAATCCCGGCCGGGGGTATGGTTTGTTTGCAATCGTGTCATTACGATTTCTTGAGTGCTGTTTTTAACCCTAATGCTACAGCCTGATTGTTTCCCACAAACACCCATACCTCTATAATCTATCAGTTTAAATTCCTAGACAAGTCATCAATTACCCTCTCAATCGAATTGGCTAATGCAACCACTCCATCCCCAGAGAGATGAACCCCGTCCCTTGCATACATATCACGTTTGCCAAAGAATAGGTCCCAGTTATCAATGAATGGAATTTGAAGTTCCTAGCCAGCAATTTATACCAATTGCCCTAGACATCCATTCATTGCCCACTCCCTTTCTAGGCAAGATGCTACATATGACTGGGATCCCTCCCTTAGACCTAACTACTTCTATGGCTGACCTGTACTTATCCAGCAGCTCCTCTCTCCTGCCCTTCCCAATGTCATAACCCCCAGCACTAAGACAGATAATGGGCTTGTTCCCATTACCTGCCATAATATTATTCAACCTGCTGACTATGTCACCAATACCAGCTCCAGGAAGGCACACACTCTGCCTGACCTTTTTGCCTCCGTTACAAAATACACGGTCCATATATCTTACCTTAGAATCTCCAACTATTAAAATATTCTTGCCTTGATTAGCAGGGGAATCAATGGTACCTTCAACCTCACTAACCACTGAAGTACACTTGTCTTGGAGAACAGAGAATCAATTTCCTACCTTCACATTTCTCTATTAACTCTCCTCATTTTCCCTCTTCCTGAACTGTGAGCCACTTGCCACTTAAAGCTGCTGCCAGTATCACTGCTGGTGACCATTTCCTCCTTACCAGCTAAATCCTTCTCACACTCACTCCCAAACTCATCTATGCGAAGCTTCAGCCTCCTAGTTTCCTCCTGAAGAAGTAGAATCTCCTTCAACACTTGAACCTGAGATTCTAAAACACTACAACAAGCCATGGTGCTTGGTAACAGCCTATGCTAACTTCCAAGAGCTTAGGCAGGTATGACCGCAGGTGACCACTGACCTCAGCGTACTGACCACTGTATTCTGGCAGTTTTCCAAAGTTTCAAATTCACGACTCGCTGTGTATAAACTAAGAACGAAAATATTTTAATGTAAGCAATGTGTCTATTGTGCATTTATTTTATTTTCATATTGTTTTATTAAGTCTAGCTCTATTTCACACTTAATATATGATAATGTAAAAATGTTGTCAGGCCTTTATGTGTATTTAAAGGTGTAAAAAATTATTCACTTTTCTGCGTTTTTCTCTTTACGATGGTATCCTGGAACCAAACCCACCGTATAATCAGGGTTCTCCTGTATGCAGTACAGTACATATAGTGTAAAACAGCAGTTGTACATTTCTGAATATTATTGTTAGGCCCAGAAGCTGCAGCATGAATGATAACATTGTGTTTTAATGTGAACGAATCGCAAAGTGATGTATTAGTCATGAATGACTTAATAATGATCCCAGATGGATCAAATATCATGTAGTTTTGTCTTCATATTGTAGCTTTGTGTTGAATCATAAAGCAAGTTGATATTCCTGGTGAATGTTGGTATGTTGGCAGTAGTCTTAAGATAGGACTATTATATACTAGTTACTAGTTAGTTGGTGGCCTGGTGGTTAACGCTCTCGCTTCACACGGTGAGGGCCTGGGTTCGATTCCCAGCCAGAGTAGAAACATTGGACGTGTTTCTTTCCACCTGTTGTCTATGTTCCCCATCAGTAAAATGGGTACCTGGGTGTTAGTCGACTGGTGTGGGTCGCATCCTGGGACACTGACCTAAGGAGGCCTGGTCACAGACCGGGCCGCGGGGGCGTTGACCCCCGGAACTCTCTCCAGATAAACTCCAGATAAACTACTGTACTGTATGTAGTTCAGCACACAGTACTTGTACACGATGTTGTGTATCTGGAGGGGGTTTTGGGGGTTAGCGCCCCTGCGGCCTGGTCTGTGAGTAGGTCTCACGTTGGATCAGGACCTGATCAACCAAGCTGTTACTGCTGGCAGCATGTAAACGAACGTATGAGTCACAGCCCGGCTGGTCAGGAACAGACTTTAGATGCCTGTCCAGAGCTTTCTTGAAGACAGCCTGGGGTCTATCCACCTTATGTATGCCAGGAGGTAGTTGAACAGTCTTGGGTCCCTGACACTTATTGTGTTGTCTTTTAGTGTGCTCATGGCTCCCCTACTTTTAATTGGGGAGGATGTTGCATTTGCTTTCATAGGGAGTGATTTTCATGTGCAGGCTTGGGACTAGTCCCTCTAGGATTTTCCAAGTGTATGTTATCATGTGTCTTTCTCGCCTGCATTCCAGGGAATATAAATCAAGGGACTTCAACCATTCCCAGTAATCTAGGTGCTCTGTCATACTTATACATGCAATGAAAGTTCTCTGTATATTCTCCAGGTCTGCAATTTTGCCTTCCTTGAAAGGGGCCATTAGTGTACAGCAATATTCCAGCCTATAGAGAACAAGCAATTTGAAGTGAATCATTATGGGCTTGGTATCCCTAGTTTTGAAGGTTCTCATTATCCTTCAAATCATTTTCCTAGCAGATGAGGTAGATACATTGTTGTGATCTCTGAAAGTGAGATCCTCTGACATTATCACTCCCTGATCCTTCACATTAGTTTTTTGCTCTATTGTGTGGTTGGAATTTGTTTTATACTCCAATACAGTTTTAATTTCCTTGAGTTTTCCGTAGCGTAGTAGTTGAAATTTGTCTTCATTGAACTTCATATTGTTTTCTGCGGCTAATTTAAAGATTTGTTTGATGTCCGCTTCGAGACTTGCAGTGTCTTTGATGGATGACTGTTATATAGATTTGGGTGTCATCTGCAAAGGAAGACATGGTGCTATGGTTTACATCTCTGTCTGTATCAGATATGAGGATGAGGAACAAGATGAGAGTGAGTATTGTACCTTGTGGAACAGAGCTTTTCACTGTAACTGCCTCTGACTTTACTCTGTTTACTGTTACTCTTTGTGCTCTATTTCTTAGGAAGTTATAGATCCATCTACCAACTTTTCCTATTACTCCTTAATCACGCATTTTGTGTGCTGTTACACTGTGATCTGCACTTGTCGATGGCTTTTGCTGGGTCTGTGTATAGTGCATCTGCATTTTATCCTCGAGTGCTATCGGTCTGTAATTCTTGCAATTTCTTTACTGCCACCATTGCGGAGTCTGTTGTTTTTAGTGACTGTGGGTTGACCCCTGTGTCTATTCTCCCTTTCCATAGAATGCTTAAGGCACATGAAAGGAGGTTCTTGCAATTCTTGATGAACATGGAGTTCCACGAATGGGCCTGGGGCAGAGTACATGGGCATGTCATTTATTCTTTTTTCAAAGTCTTGTGATGTTATGATATCAGAAATTTTTGAATTAACCAAATTTTGAGTCTTTCATAAAAAATCCATTTAGATTGGCGACTCTTAGTCTGGTTAGTGGTTCACTAAATGGCGAGTCATATTGGGACTTCAGTATCTCGCTCATTTCTTTGCTGTCATCTGTGTAAGTCGCATCTCGTCTAAGCAGGGGTCCAAAACTGGATGTTGTTTTTGCTAGATTTTGCAAAAGAAAAGTAGTATTTTGAGTTTCATTCAGTTTGGTTTATTGCTTTAAGTTCTTCCTGTGTTTCTTGTCTCCTGTATGATTCCTTAAGCTTAAGTTCAATATTTGCCATTTCTCTGACCAATGTCACCATTAATTTTAAGTTTAAATGGTTACAAAAGTCTGTCTGTTGCTAAGCAATTTCTGCACAGCTTATGTATTTATTTGAATCCTTACTGTACAGTTAGTGTTCAGAGAATTCAGTTGTAAGGACTGACAAATAAAAATGTAGCTGGTAATATTTGTGAAGGGATTCAAGGAAACGGTTAATGGGACTTGAGTCCTGGAGGTGGGAAGTAGAATGTCTACACTTTAAAGGAGGGGTTTGGGATATTTGCTGCTTGGAGTAACATCTGAACTGTCATATCTGTTTGCTTCTGCAGAGATAATGATGGTGTGAACAATGGTGAAAATGATCCTATCTTGTGGTTCACCCTGCCTCGGTGGGAGATGGCCAGCCTGTTAACAATAATTTTTTAAAACTTGTTTCTTTAATTCTTTAAAGTTTGTTGCACAATGCATTATTAGCTGAGTTTTGTACTCTAATAATTTGAAAGCCTAGTATAGTTTATTTTCTCACAACAGGCGTAATAAGAAAGGAGTGAAGCCAGTGGAGAGGTTATGGAATTACCTTGTCAGGCAGGAGGAAGTTCAGGAAGTTTTTGTGAGGTATATCTTTGGTCGCAAAAGACCAACACCTGAGCCTGTCCAGTACTCAGACCACGGTAAGCATCCAAGGTGTAAAAACTTTTCAGTATACGTAACTTATTTTTTGTCCATGGCCTTTCTCAATTGTTTATATTCTAATATATACAGTAGTCCCCCCGTATCCCTAGGGGATACTTTCCAAGACCTACCATGGAAAGTATGTAGTAAACCCTACACAGTAGGACCCCTGTATCCATGGAGGATATGTTCCAAGGACCTACTATGGATACTAAAACCACGGATAGTAGCAAACCCTGTGTATAAGTCCTATACATACCTATTATAAAATTTAATTGATATATTATGCACAATAAGTGGAGAATTGTTAGGTAGTAGGCTGGTAGACAGCAGCCACCCAGGGAGGTACTACTGTCCTGTGGTAGTAGGCTGGTAGACAGCAGCTGCCCAGGGAGGTACTACTGTTCTGTGATAATAGGTTGGTAGACAGCTGCTACCCAGGGAGGTACTATGTACTCTCCTGTGGTAGTAGGCTGGTAGAGAGCAGCCACCCAGGGAGGTACTACTGTCCTGTGGTAGTAGGTTGTTAGACAACAGCTGCTGAGAGAGGTACTACTGTCCTGTGGTAATATTGTTCTGTGGTAGTAGATTTGTAGACAGCAGCTTCCCAGGGAGGTACTACTGTCCTGTCGTAGTAGGCTGGTAGACAGCAGCCGCCCAGGGAGGTACAACTGTCCTGTGGTAGTAGGTTGGTAGACAGCGGAGCAGATTTCTTCCCCCCTAAGTCATGTGTGTCTTAAGAGGCATCTGAAATGCTGCAAGCAAGGGGCTACTAACCCCTTCTCCTGTATATATTACTGAATTTAAAAGGAGAAACTTTCATTTTTTTTTTTGTTGGGCCACCCTGCCTCGGTGGCCACCCTGCCTCAGTAGGATATGGCTGGTTTGTCAAAGGAAGAAGTGGAGAATTGTCACTTTTTCACTGATGGAAAGCACTTCACGACTTCTTTTAGGCTTTGAAGAACTGTTAGCTTCTCTACTTTTGCTCTTTGGGCCCATTATTATGCAAAATTAAGAGGTATTTTTGTGCCACAGTAAACTGTGAAAACTGAACCCACGAATATCTAATCAGTGGATGCGGGGGTTCCACTGTATATAAATAGTTTTCACTTGCATACATTTTTTTTTTTTTTCTCTCCAACAAGTCAGCCGTCTCCCACCGAGGCAAGGTGACTTACATACATACCTTTGATAAAGTTTAATTGATAAATTATGCGCAATAAGTTGAAAATTATCACTTTTTCACTGATGGGAAGCACTTCACAGCTTCTCTTAGGCTTTGAACAACTCCCACTATGTAAAGTAAAAGGACACAAATGCAACTAATGTGACTTTTTATTGTGGCATCGTTTTGCTCTCCAGGAGCTTATCAAGCTCCTGGAGAGCGAAACGTTGCCACAATAAAAAGTCACATTAGTTGCATTTGTATCCTTTTACTTTACATATTGTCGGTAATTCTACCAACTTTATTACAACTCCCACTATCACTACTTTTGTACTCTGGTGTCATTAGGAAGGAAAATTAGGGCTCATTTTTGAGCCATGGCAAACCACGGATAATTGAAACTGCAGAAACTGGACCTGCAGATACAGCGGTTCTACTGTACTGTGCATTCAATGTTCGCTGGTAGGAAAAAACCACGGTATAGGTGGGGTTTGACCCCATGGTGAGTGAGTGGTAAAACAAGCCAGTGGGTAAGTCACTCAAGTGGCATACCCACTCTCCTGGAGTTTTAAGAATTACTCACCATGGGTTCTAACCCCACCCGTACCGTGGTTTGTTTGCAGTCGTGTTATTGCTATGTTGTGAGTCAGTTCACTGGTATAGATATGTACTATAACAAAACTAGTTGGTGAGCACAGTGAAATTCAGCAAAGCAATTTGTCTCATAGACTCTTATTCAGTAATTTAAGGTGCATTTTTGGAAAGGAAAAAAATCTAGTGTAAATTACAGATTGTTGTATTACCAAATTATTATGGAAGCTCCATACATGAACCAACAATGTGTGTACTGTATATGAAGTAGCACATAGTTATGGAAGCTCCATACATGAACCAACAGTGTGTGTAGTGTATAAAGAAGTAACACAGTTATGGAAGCTCCATACATGAACCAACAATGTGTGTACTGTATAAAGAAGTAGTATACAGGCTTCTAGACAGTTGATCATTCAGTAACACTAATCATAATAGATAATGCAAAATAATACGGAATGTATATTACGTAAGGATTATGACAAGAATGTACAAAATATGTATAGGTATATTTATGAGACTAGATCCAACCCAGCCTCTTGCAGTGTTGCATCTATGCACATCTAGCAAGACAGCTATTGAGTGAGTGATGGTGAATGTGTCTCCCCTTTTTTCACTCTGAGATAGGGTGACCTAAGAAAGAGGAAATGCTTACACAGTCACACTTTGTAAATGTTACGTTGCTCACACTTCAAGTTAAAGTAACACTTACTCCTATTTAAGATGCTCACACAAGTCTGTTGAATGTCCAAACCCTTAGTTTTATTACTGTATTTATTTGACCTTGTAGGGGAGGAAGTTATGAGTGATGTGGGTGATGGTGTAGATGGCTCTGGGACAGGTGAAGGAGGATCTGAGATGGGTGCTGCAGAGAATCAAGAACCCTCCGAACATGGAGCTCCTCCATTGGAAAGTGCAGTTCAATCTCTCGAGCCACTGCGCATTATCCACAAGGAACAGGACTCCATTACTGCTTTTTGCATCAATAAGGTACAAGACAAGATCATTTGTGACTTTTTTTATTTACCATTTGTTTTATATATACAGATTTCCCTCAACATTCGCGAGGGTTAGGGGATCAAGAGCCTCGCAAATGTTGAAAAACCGTGAATGTTTGGTGCCCCAATATATTGTACGGAAATATAATACAATACTGCTTCCTTAACTTATTGAACCATGAACAATCATAAAACACATGAAAATGCCATAAATTGTACTAAATATATACATGTTATGCTTTAATAACATGTATGTTATTAAATACCACAGACTCCACCACAGACTCCACCACAGACTCCACCACAGACTCCACCACTGCCTCCACCACTGCCTCCACCACTGCCTCCACCACTGCCTCCACCACTGCCTCCACCACTGCCTCCACCACTGCCTCCACCACTGCCTCCACCACTGCCTCAACCACTTCCTCAACCACTGCGAGTCCCTACTACCCTCCCTCCGACCCCCACAACTGGCAGCCAGCCCTCCCACCACTCAGTGTGGTGAGTGTTTTGTTTGTTCATTATTTGCTATTAAACTACAGTATAAATAATGTAAACCCATTCATGACTGCATATTGGAATGGCTATTCGGACAGGTATTAGACGGTGACATCATGTGTTTACTCTTGAACACAGCAAAGAATCGAACATTTCTGCTATTGCTAATAATAACAATAGTAATAATAATAATAATGATAATAATAATAATAAATACGATATAATTGAAGAAGGAAATTGTACAAAAATACGAGGGAGTGGTTGACACATCGTCAGTGTGACTTTGTTTATGCTGGAGTGAGCATTAGTCTCCCTGCTCTTCCAAACATTTCACAATAATTCAGCGGTTGAGGCAGTGGTATTTAATAACATATATATTATAAATAATAATAGTACATGTTATTATTAATAACATGTATTATTATTATTATTAACATGTATGTTATTAAATACCATTGCCTCAACCGCTGCCTCAGTCGCTGCTTCAACTGCTGCCTCAACCACTGCCTCAACCGCTGCCTCAACCACTGCCTCAACCGCTGCCTCAACCGCTGCCTCAACCGCTGCCTCAACCACTGCCTCAACCACTGCCTCAACCACTGCCTCAACAGCTGCCTCAACAGCTGCCTCAACAGCTGCCTCAACCGCTGCCTCAACCGCTGCCTCAACCACTACCTCAACCGCTGCCTCAACCGCTGCCTCAACCGCTGCCTCAACCGCTGCCTCAACCGCTGCCTCAACAGCTGCCTCAACCACTGCCTCAATCGCTGCCTCAACCACTGCCTCAACCACTGCCTCAATCGCTGCCTCAATCGCTGCCTCAACAGCTGCCTCAACAGCTGCCTCAACCGCTTCCTCAACCACTGCCTCTACCACTCCAGTCGCACTCAATCTACAAGCACCAAACACAATGAATTATTGTGAAATGTTTGGAAGAGCACGGAGACTAATGCTCACTCCAGCATAAACAAAGCCACACTGATGATGTGTCAACCACTCCCTTGTATTTTTGTACAATTTCCTTCTTCAATTATATCGTATTTATTATTATTATTATTATTATTATTATTATTATTATTATTATTATTATTATTATTATTATTATTATTATTATTATTATTATTACTACTACTATTGTTATTATTAGCTGTAGCAGAAATGTTTGATTCTTTGCTGTGTTCAAGAGTAAACACATGATGTCACCATCTAATACCTGTCCGAAGAGCCATTCCAATATGCAGTCATGAATGGGTTTACATTATTTATACTGTAGTTTAATAGCAAATAATGAACAAACAAAACACTCGCCACACTGAGTGGTGGGAGGGCTGGCTGCCAGTTGCTGAGGTCGGAGGGAGGGTAGTAGGGACTTGCAGGTGGCGGGAAACTTAAATATGATTTGGTGGCTGGGAATTTGGCAGTTGGGAATTCGTGAATGTGTCAAGCCCGTGAAAGTTGAAAACGTGAATGTTGAGGGAGACCTGTACAGTGTTTGTATTACTGTACAGTGGACCCTCGGTTATCGGCCGTTCATGTTATTGGCTAACTCAGTGATTGGCCGGTTTTTCGGCTCCTGGTGATTGGCCATTTCAGACGCGTTCGTCCGCCGGTTGGGGCCGCTTATGCATCAGTTGGGCTGTCTCTCTCAGTGCATGAGGAAGCTTCTGCTCATACATCGAAACATTTTGCTTGTTTTCCATTGTTTTTGTGATTTTTTTTGCAATGCAACTGTGAGATACGTAACCATAGCTCCAAAGAAAGCTCCTAGTAAAGTTCCTGGGTAAAAAAAGTGAGAAACACCATGGAATTTAAGCACAAAGTGTAGCAGGCATGCAGGGAGTGTAGCAGGCATGCAGGGAGTGTAGCAGGCATGCAGGGAGTGTAGCAGGCATGCAGGGAGTGTAGCAGGCATGCAGGGAGTGTAGCAGGCATGCAGGGAGTGTAGCAGGCATGCAGGGAGTGTAGCAGGCATGCAGGGAGTGTAGCAGGCATGCAGGGAGTGTAGCAGGCATGCAGGGAGTGTAGCAGGCATGCAGGGAGTGTAGCAGGCATGCAGGGAGTGTAGCAGGCATGCAGGGAGTGTAGCAGGCATGCAGGGAGTGTAGCAGGCATGCAGGGAGTGTAGCAGGCATGCAGGGAGTGTAGCAGGTATGCAGGGAGTGTAGCAGGTATGCAGGGAGTGTAGTAGGCATGCAGGGAGTGTAGTAGGCATGCAGGGAGTGTAGCAGGCATGCAGGAAGTGTAGCAGGCATTCCAGAAGTCAGCATTAGTCTTCAATAAAGGTATGTAATACTGATTTAATTGTTAAAAAATTATTTTTTTGTGAATATTTTTTTTGTCTGGAACGGATTAATTGTATTTACATTAATTCTTAGGGGAAATGCCATTTCAGTTTTAGGCCGAGATTCTGGAACGGATTACGACCGATAACCGAGGGTCCACTGTATCAGTTTTTACATTTTAAAAATTTAGACCTGTTATTGAAACTTTAATTTTCTTGTATCAAGTTGTATATAGTAATGCTTTTTTTGGATTACTGTATTGTAATGTGCTCATATTAGTACTGTATTTTCTGGTGTCTATAAACTATGTACAGTGGACCCTCGACCAACGATGGCATCGATTAACGATAAATCCAACTAGCGATACATTTTAATGCAAAAATATTGCCTCGACTAGCGCTTAAAAACTCGACCAACACTATTCGTTCCATCTGAGACGAGTCCACTTCTGGCCAGTGTTTACAAGCCAGCCAGCCACCTCGGTCGCTTCCAAGCATACAATCGGAACATTTCATATTATCACAGCCTTTTTAGTGATTGCACCTGCAAAATAAGTCACCATGGGCCCCAAGAAAGCTTCTAGTGCCAACCCTACAGCAAAAAGGGTGAGAATTACTATGGATATGAAGAAAGAGATCATTGCTAAGTATGAAAGTGGAGTGCATGTCTCCGAGCTGGCCAGGCTGTACACAAAACCCCAATCAACCATCGCTACTATTGTGGCCAAGAAAACGGCAATCAAGGAAGCTGTTCTTGCCAAAGGTGCAACTATGTTTTCGAAACTGAGATCGCAAGTACTCGATGTTGAGAGACTGTTATTGGTATGGATAAACGAAAAACAGATAGGAGGAGATAGCATCTCTCAAGCGATCATATGTGAAAAGGCTAGGAAGTTGCATGATGATTTAATTAAAAAAATGCCAGCAACTAGTGGTGATGTGAGTGAATTTAAGGCCAGCAAAGGTTGGTTTGAGAGATTTAAAGGAAAGGGAAGTAACCCCGGAAAAAGGACTTGCCACCTCAAGTCCTAATGGAAGGGGATTCCCCTTCTAGACACTAAGACCATCAACACACTCCCCTCCTCCCATCCCATCAATCATCACCTGATCTTCAATAAAGGTAACTGTGCATGTCTTCTTCAGTTTGTGTATTAATATTAATATTTCATGTGGTAAAAACAATTTTTTTTCATACTTTGGGGTGTCATACACGGATTAATTTGATTTCCTTTATTTCTTATGGGGAAAATTAACTTGACTAACGATAATTTTGATTGACGATGAGCTCTCAGGAACGGATTAATAGCGTTAGTCGAGGGTCCACTGTACAGTAATTTCCTCTTTCGGACTTGGTAGGAAGTTACAATACATGATTTCAAATCTTCATTATATGTAGCCTTGTATAAATATTATCCATCGATATATTATATTGTACAAATGTTATCCATTGATATGTTCAGTCAACTTCTACAAATGTTTTCCACTGATACATAGTCTCAAACAAATTATTCTATGTAACTATTACATGTTCTATTACCTTGTTTAACTCAAATTGTCATACGTACTGTAATTCTCTCTCTCTCTCTCTCTCTCTCTCTCTCTCTCTCTCTTTTTCTCTCTCTCTCTCTCTCTCTCTCTTCTCTCTCTCTCTCTCCTCTCTCTCTCTCTCTCTCTCTCTCTCTCTCCTCTCTCCTCTCTCTCTCTCTCTCTCTCTCTCTCTCTCTCTCTCTCTCTCTCCTCTCTCTCCTCTCTCTCTCTCTCTCCTCTCTCTCTCTCTCTCTCCTCTCTCTCTCTCTCTCTCTCTCTCTCTCTCCTCTCTCTCTCTCTCTCTCCTCTCTTCTCTCATCTTCTCTCTCTCTCTCTCTCTTTCTCTCTCTCTTTCTCTCTCTCTTTCTCTCTCTCTTCTTTCTCTCTTTCCTCTTCTCTTCTCCTCTCCTCTCTCTTCTCTCTTTCTCTCTCTCTCTTCTCTTCTCTCTCTCTTCTCTTTCTCTCTTCTCTGTTCTCTTCTCTCTCTCTCTCTCTGCTCTCTGTCTCTGTTCTCGTCTCTCCCCTCTCTCTGTCTCTTCTCTCTCTCTCTGTCCCCTTCTCTCTCTCTGTTCTCTTCTCTGTCTCTGTCTCTCTGTCTCTCTCTCTCTCTTGTCCTCTTCCTCTCTCTCTCTCTCTCCCCTTTCTCTGTCTCTCTTTGTCTCTCTCTCTCTTCTTCTCTGTCTCTCTTCTCTCTCTCTCTTCTCTCCTCCGTCGTTCTCTCGTCCTCTCCTCTCTCTCTTCTCTCCTCTCTTCTCTCTCTCTCTCTCCTCTCTTCTCTCTCTTCCTCTCTCTTCTCTCTTTCTCTCCTCCTTCTCTCTCTCTGCTCTCTCTGTCTCTCTCTCTCTCGTTCTCTTCTCGTCCTCTCTTCTCTCTTCTCTCTCTCTCTCTCTCTCTCTCTCTTCTCTCTCTCTCTTCTCTCTCTCTTCTTTCTGTTCTCTCTCTCTGCTCCTCTCTCTCTCTGTCTCTTCTCTGTCTCTCTCTTTCTGTCTCTCTCTCTTCTCTTCTCGTCTCTCTGTCTCTCTGTCTCTCTCTGCTCTCTCCTCTCTTCTCTCTCTCTGTCTCTCTGCTCTCTCTCTGTCTCTCTCTTCTCTCTCTCCTCTCTTGTCTCTCTCGTTCTCTCCCCTCTCTCTCTCTCTCGTCTCTCGTCTCTCTGTCTCTTCCTCTCTCTTCTCTCTCTCTCTCTCTCGTCTCTCTGCACTCTCTTTTCTCTGTCCTCTCTCTCTGTCCCCTCTCTCTTCTCTCTCTCTCTCTCTCTCTCTCTCTCTCTGTCTCTCTCTCTCTCTGTCTCTCTCTCTCTCTGTCTGTCTCTCTCTCTGTCTCTCCTCTCTCTCTCTCTCTCTCTCTCTCTCTGTCTCTGTCTCTCTCTCTCTCAACCTAAGAAACTGATCTTAATTTTATATTTTAGGTTAATGCTGGGTTGATGGCTGTAGCAACTGTGCGTGAGGTGCAAGAACTCAATGTCTCACTATTGTTGGATCATCCTACTTGGCTCACTAATGAGTGTGAACTAGATGTCTTATCTCTAAACAGGTAAATTATTTTATATAAATATTATTTTTAGTATACATAATGGTAAGTATTAGAAGCTTTTTTGCCATTCTCAAAAAGCTGGGTAAAGTTATTAAGCCTTTTTCTGCCATGCTATGACAATCAGAGCAGCGTTTTAGTCCACTACCAGCTTCAGTATATCGTACATTGTATATCTTTGTACATTTGAGCATTCTTGAAAGGTGAAATAATTTTAGACTGCGACTTGGCCCTTTCAGTGACCGTCGTGTAGTTACATTACTGAGGCCAGGGTCCCTCACAGTTCTTCCTCATTGAGGCCAGGGTCCCTCACAGTTCTTCCTCATTGAGGCCAGGGTCCCTCACATCTTTCTTCCTCATTGAGGCCAGGGTCCCTCACATCTTTCTTCCTCATTGAGGCCAGGGTCCCTCACAGTTCTTCCTCATTGAGGCCAGGGTCCCTCACATCTTTCTTCCTCATTGAGGCCAGGGTCCCTCAGTTCTTCCTCATTGAGGCCAGGGTCCCTCACATCTTTCTTCCTCATTGAGGCCAGGGTCCCTCACATCTTTCTTCCTCATTGAGGCCAGGGTCCCTCACATCTTTCTTCCTCATTGAGGCCAGGTCCCTCACATCTTTCTTCCTCATTGAGGCCAGGGTCCCTCACATCTTTCTTCCTCATTGAGGCCAGGGTCCCTCACATCTTTCTTCCTCATTGAAGCCAGGGTCCCTCACATCTTTCTTCCTCATTGAGGCCAGGTCCCTCACATCTTTCTTCCTCATTGAGGCCAGGGTCCCTCACATCTTTCTTCCTCATTGAGGCCAGGGTCCCTCACATCTTTCTTCCTCATTGAGGCCAGGGTCCCTCACATCTTTCTTCCTCATTGAGGCCAGGGTCCCTCACATCTTTCTTCCTCATTGAGGCCAGGGTCCCTCACATCTTTCTTCCTCATTGAGGCCAGGGTCCCTCACATCTTTCTTCCTCATTGAGGCCAGGGTCCCTCACAGTTCTTCCTCATTGAGGCCAGGGTCCCTCACATCTTTCTTCCTCATTGAGGCCAGGGTCCCTCACATCTTTCTTCCTCATTGAGGCCAGGGTCCCTCACATCTTTCTTCCTCATTGAGGCCAGGGTCCCTCACATCTTTCTTCCTCATTGAGGCCAGGGTCCCTCACATCTTTCTTCCTCATTGAGGCCAGGGTCCCTCACATCTTTCTTCCTCATTGAGGCCAGGGTCCCTCACATCTTTCTTCCTCATTGAGGCCAGAGTCCCTCACATAGTTCTTCCTCATTGAAGCCAGGGTACCTCACGCAGTTCTATTTCATGAGCTCAGTTCATTCAGATAAGCTGTGAGCAGTAAACTTTGGCTTAGATATAAGAGAACAAGTCTGTGCAGTGAGTGTGCATTGTATATAAAGAAGTACTTGATGGGTTTCAGGATAGGAAGTAGCTTAAAATTCAGCTCAAATATTCAGTCTTTGCAAGTATTCCTGAGGACAGGTAAGGTCCTCCTACACCCCCAGTCTGTTTTATGGGGTTTTAATAGGTCTGGTTCAATTATTGGTACACTGTAAGTTTCGACCAATCATTCCTGATTATATTTTATTATCTGAGAAATAGAGCAAATCTATTTTTGTGTGATTATGAATTCAACATGGAAGGCAAGTACAGTGGAACCTCTACTTGCGAGTTTAATCCGTTCCATGACCTTGCTCGCAACTGGATTTGCTCGTTTGAAGAGTCAATTTTCCTCATTTAAATTAATTGAGATGCAATTACATGTAATCCGTTCCAGTGGAATTCTGTACTTCAATAATTTTGCTAATATCAACTCTACGGCTTATTTATCTATCTCACTTCATCTAATATGACATAAAGAACAATATAAATAACATAGAAACCTGACATATACTCTAAAATGAATAAAATATCGTTCATGTCAGATACTTGGGAGTTGACGTGTCGGCGGATGGATTTATGAAGGATGAGGTTAATCATAGAAGTGATGAGGGAAAAAAAGGTGAGTGGTGCGTTGAGGTATATGTGGAGTCAAAAAACGTTATCTATGGAGGCAAAGAAGGGAATGTATGAAAGTATAGTAGTACCAACACTCTTATATGGGTGTGAAGCTTGGGTGGTAAATGCAGCAGCGAGGAGACGGTTGGAGGCAGTGGAGATGTCCTGTTTAAGGGCAATGTGTGGTGTAAATATTATGCAGAAAATTCGGAGTGTGGAAATTAGGAAAAGGTGTGGAGTAATAAAAGTATTAGTCAGAGGGCAGAAGAGGGGTTGTTGAGGTGGTTTGGTCATTTAGAGAGAATGGATCAAAGTAGAATGACATGGAAAGCATATAAATCTATAGGGGAAGGAAGGCAGGGTAGGGGTCATCCTCGAAAGGGTTGGAGAGAGGGGGTAAAGGAGGTTTTGTGGGCAAGGGGCTTGGACTTCCAGCAAGCGTGCGTGAGCATGTTAGATAGGAGTGAATGGAGACGAATGGTACTTGGGACATGACGATCTGTTGGAGTGTGAGCAGGGTAATATTTAGTGAAGGGATTCAGGGAAACCGGTTATTTTCATATAGTCGGACTTGAGTCCTGGAAATGGGAAGTACAATGCCTGCACCTTAAAGGAGTGGTTTGGGATATTGGCAGTTTGGAGGGATATGTTGTGTATCTTTATACGTATATACTTCTAAACTGTTGTATTCTGAGCACCTCTGCAAAAGCAGTGATAATGTGCGAGTGTGGTGAAAGTGTTGAATGATGATGAAAGTATTTTCTTTTTGGGGATTTTCTTTCTTTTTTGGGTCACCCTGCCTCGGTGGGAGACGGCCGACTTGTTGAAAAAAAAAAAAAATTCATGTAGTGGTATGGGCGGTATCAGTGGTGGACGAGAGTTTGTCTGGAGACTGGGCAAAATACTTCATGAATAATTTTGCTAATATCATCTATATGGCTTATTTATATATCACAGTTCATCTAATATGATATAACAGACAATATAAATAACATAGAAACACGATATATACTCTAGAATGAATAAAATGTGTCATTGAGACCAAAAAAATGAGAATACAACCATAAAAACCATTTGAAATTACCGCTAAGGGGTGGCTAATTGCTGAGAAGTGAATTCCATTATTTATGCTTAGATTTCTTTCATTTTTGGTGTACGTTAAGAAGCGTCTTTCCATCATACATTGCCCAAGTTTCAATAAGATAGTCAACAAACAAATGAGATACAATTCCCGAGATCAAGAGCAAGAGTCCCTCACCAGTGTCAGGGAACCTGCCTTGAGGCCTGCTCGCTTGTGGAAATTTTGCTCGCGTATGGAAGCAAAAAATCGACCCATCAACTGCTCGTATTTGGAAAAACTCGCACGTGGACATGTTCGCAAGTAGAGGTTCCACTGTATAATATAGGAAAGGCTTGGGATGTGAGTAATGAACAGAGAAAAATGTTGCTTTAGTGCCAGGAAAGTCTACATTGTTTATTTTGCACTCTATTATTAAATTGGTATTTTTTAATTATGTGTAAAATTGGCCAAATTACATTTTTTTGTGCTTAATAGAATGGAAGGCATGCTAGCAAAATAGCTAACTTTGCTCCTGCATAATTCCATAAGTTTTCCATCAAATTTTGTACTTTTGGTGTCATTGCCTCCAGAAAATTCGTAGTTTGGAAGTTAGGAGGAGGTGCGGGATTACCAAAACTGTTGTCCAGAGGGCTGAGGAAGGGTTGTTGAGGTGGTTCGGACATGTAGAGAGAATGGAGCGAAACAGAATGACTTCAAGAGTGTATCAGTCTGTAGTGGAAGGAAGGCGGGGTAGGGGTCGGCCTAGGAAGGGTTGGAGGGAGGGGGTAAAGGAGGTTTTGTGTGCGAGGGGCTTGGACTTCCAGCAGGCATGCGTGAGCGTGTTTGATAGGAGTGAATGGAGACAAATGGTTTTTAATACTTGACGTGCTGTTGGAGTGTGAGCAAAGTAACATTTATGAAGGGATTCAGGGAAACCGGCAGGCCGGACTTGAGTCCTGGAGATGGGAAGTACAGTGCCTGCACTCTGAAGGAGGGGTGTTAATGTTGCAGTTTAAAAACTGTAGTGTAAAGCACCCTTCTGGCAAGACAGTGATGGAGTGAATGATGGTGAAAGTTTTTCTTTTTCGGGCCACCCTGCCTTGGTGGGAATCGGCCGGTGTGATAATAAAAAAAAAAAATAAATCTTTGGATATACCTTATTGCAATAATAAGTGGCAGAGTAGTGGAAAATGAGACAGCTGAGGAACTAATATTATGTGTGTCAATTTTTTCAGAGAACCAGACAGTGTGCCATCATCAAACTTCTTGGTTGTACAGACTCCTATGGATAAGAATATTTTGGATCCTACCAAGGGAGGTAGGTCTGCTTATTTTTTTTACTACCTCATAGGTAGTAAAGCAATAGAGATATAGTAAGGAACATGTACTTGTTCTTTGTCATTCAAACAAACTGCAGATGATGATCTTTTGTCAGAACAAAAAGGCACAATACCATGACTAGAACAATACACAACCCGCACATAGGAGAAAGAAACTTACAATGACATTTTGGTCCAACTTGGACCATTAACTAGCCACACACTAACACAGGAAGATAAGGGAACCATTTTATATATACTGGCTCCCATACCTTCGTGTGCTAGCGTGCAACTTGTTAATGGTTCAAGTCGGACTGAAGTGCCATCATAAGTTTCTTGCGCTTACATGCAGCTTATTTGTGTAACTTTTACTAGGTAATGAATGCTTATCAGTATTCAGAAGAGTAGTTTTGCTTGTATGATAAACATCAAATGGTTCTGCACATTGAAGGGAAATGGATGCGAATGCATTAGGATACGTTTATTTAAAATGTTTTGGTACTTGGAACATAATCACTTTAAATACATGAAGAGTTTGATAGGAGATGGGATCTATATATTGATAGTCAGTGAAGGATGCCAGAAGTAGAGAATGACTTACAACTCTCACATGTCATGTTTGTCAATTTTTAAATTGTCAGTTTTTACAAATACAGTGGACCCCCGGTTTACGATCAGCTCCCAATGCGACCAATTATGTAAGTGTATTTATGTAAGTGCGTTTGTATGTGTATGTTTGGGGGTCTGAAATGGACTAATTGTAGACAGCCTGTACTGTCTGCACAGACAGCCTATGCTGTCTGCCAGCTTAGTTCATATTTTGCTCCATGCTGGTGCTACCACCTATAGGCATTGCCACTTCAGCCTGCCTGCCCTTGCCTCACTCTCACTCTCACAGCGGCCTAGCAGGAAGACACAAGGCCTACTCCTAGTTCTCGTGGGATGGCCCTGCTCGGGCCATGGGCACAACACACAAGCCTGTGTACCCACCACGACTTAACAATAAAGTAAGAAGCCTCCGAAGACGTATCATTTACTCCCTGCTACCAGAACACCAAATAATCCTTTTATATAATCTAATTCACAATATTCCTTATGGGAACAAATTCAGTCAGTACTGGTACCTGAACATACTTCTGGAATGAAATAATATCGTAAACCGGGGGTCCACTGTACAGTGGACCCCCGGTTTGCGATGGCATTGGTATCCGATAAATCCGGTATTTGGTACATTTTAATGCAAAAATTTTGCCTCGGTTCCCGTTAAAAAACCCGGTATATGCGATTCATCAGAGATGTGTCCACGTGTGGCCTGAACTGCCCCATGTGTGCCAGTGTTTACAAGTCAGCCATTGTGCTCGCATCTAAGGATACATTCGGCACATTCCATATTATTACAGTGTTTTTGGTGCTTGTTTCTGCAAAATATGTCACCATGTGCCCCAAAAAAGTTTTTAGTGCCAACCCTTCGAGAAAAAGAGTGCTGATGACTATTGAAATGAAGCAAGAGATAATTGCAAAGTACGAAAGTGGAGTGCGTGTGTCGGAGCTGGCCAGGTTGTATACAAAACCCCAATCAACCATCGCTACTATAGTGTTGTAGATGAATGGTTCAGAGAACCGACATGTTGATAAATTAGACACATGCGCAACTCTTGGGTATCTTTATTGAGGAAACGTTTCGCCACACAGTGGCTTCATCAGTCCATACAAAGGAGAATCTTGAAGAACAGGAGGAGAATGAGGTAATCAGTCCCTCAACCTTGAGTCGATGTGCTCAGTCCATCAATCTTGAATAGAATACGGCATAAGTGTGGAGAAGGAGCTTATAAACCGTAGGCAGGAGAGGTGCAGCAGTCGTAGGTGGTGTCGCATTTGTTCAATGTGGAAGTAGGTCGTGCCCAAGGGTTAGGCAAGCAAAGAATTCCCAAGTATTAAGATCCCAAGAAGTTGCAGTGTCTGACAGGATTGTAGATGAATGGTTCAGAGAACCGACACGTTGATAAATTAGACACATGTGTAACTCTTGGGGTATCTTTATTGAAGAAACGTTTCGCCACCCAGTGGCTTGCCTAACCTGGCACAGTGGCTTGCCTAAGCCTTGGGCACGACCTACTTCCACATTGAACAAATGTGACACCACCTACGACTGCTGCACCTCTCCTGCCTACGGTTTATAAGCTCCTTCTCCGCACTTATGCTGTATTCTATTCAAGATTGATGGACTGACCACATCGACTCAAGGTTGAGGGACTGATTACCTCATTCTCCTCCTGTTCTTCAAGATTCTCCTTTGTATGGACTGATGAAGCCACTGTGTGGCAAAACGTTTCCTCAGTAAAGATACCCCAAGAGTTGCACATGTGTCTAATTTATCAACGTGTCAGTTCTCTGAACCATTCATCTACAATCCTGTCAGAGACTGCAACTTCTTGGGATCTTAATACTTGGGAATTCTTCGCTTGCCTAACCCTTGGGCATGACCTACTTCCACATTGAACAAATGTGACACCACCTATGACTGCTGCACCTCTCCTGCCTACGGTTTATAAGCTCCTCTGCACTTACGCCGTATTCTATTCAAGATTGATGGACTGACCACATCGACTCAAGGTTGAGGGACTGATTACCTCATTCTCCTGTTCTTCAAGATTCTCCTTTGTATGGACTGATGAAGCCACTGTGTGGCGAAAAGTTTCCTCAATAAAGATACCAAAGAGTTGCACATGTGTCTAATTTAGCTACTATAGTGACCAGGAAAATGGCAATCAAGGAAGCTGTTGTTGCAAAAGGTGCAACTGTGATTACGAAACAGCGACTGTAAGCGTTAGAAGATGCTGAGAGACTGTTATTAGTGTGGATAAATGAAAAACAGATAGCAGGAGATAGCATCTCTCAAGCGATCATTTGTGAAAAGGCTAGGCAGTTGCATGACGATTTGGTAAAGAAATATTGCCTGCAACTAGTGGTGATGTGAGTGAATTTAAGGCCAGCAAAGGTTGGTTTGAAAGATTTAAGAATCGTAGTGGCATACATAGTATGATTAGGCATGGTAAGGCTGCCAGTGACTCTCAAGCTGGTCCTAGTGGCATTAAGAGAAGAAGGGAAGTAACCCCGGAAAAGAACTTGCTACCTCAAGTCTTATTGGAAGGGGATTCCCCTTCTGAACAATAAGTTCGACACTCTCCCCTCCTCCCATCCCATCAATCATCACCAGTTAGTAGAGTACTACAAACTGTGCATGTCTTCTTCATTTTGTGTGCATTAAACTTAATATTTCATGTGGTAAAAAAAATTTTTCATACTTTTGGGTGTCTTGCACAGATTAATTTGATTTCCATTATTTCTTATGGGGAAAATTGATTCGCTTTTCAATAATTTTGGTTTACGATGAGCTCTCAGGAATGGATTAATATCGCAAACCGGGGGTCCGCTGTAAGTACAGTTATACCCCGCTTTACATTATTTTGGCCTGCATCAAATTTCCCTTTACGCCACTCTTCTAATGTAAATTTCAGTTCAGCGAATGTCATTATGTCCAACTTTACATCACTCAGCAACGTCACCCACATCATAATTTTTTTAAATTATGTTCGTTATTCTTTAAAATATGACTCAAATGTGTTTCAAGTGTTCTTTAAGGTTTAGCAGTGGTTATATTCTTTCGCTAGTTATTTATGCTAGATTTACGGTGTTTGTCGTCATTTTAAGACATTATGTCCAGTTTGTCAAAAACCAGGTTGTCAAAAACCAGGTTATGTCATGGCTCTTGGAACCATTTAATAATATAGGGCAGAATATGACTGAAACATTCTCTGGAGAGGGAGCATGGATACAGGGGTCATTCCACAGTCACTAAAAACAACAGACAAAGTCCCACTCCACAAAGGTGGCAGTAAAGCGTTTGTAAAGAGTTACAAACCAGTAGTACTAGAGGTTATAAAGCAGAATAATGTTCTATAAGTGGCAAGCATGTGTGAGTGTGTTAGATAGGAGTGAATGGAGATGAATGATATTTGGGACCTGACGAGCTGTTGGAGTGTGAGCAGGGTAATATTTAGTGAAGGGATTCAGGGAAACCGGTTATTTTTATTTAGCAGGACTTGAGTACTGGAAATGGGAAGTACAATGCCTGCACCCTAAAGGAGGGGTTTGGGATATTGGCAGGTTAGAGGGATATGTTGTGTATTCTTATACATACCATTCCATGGGTGGGATTGAACCCGCGGCCAGAGAGTCTCAAAACTCCAGACCATCGCGTTAGCCACTGGACCAGCTAGCTACAATAAGATTCGTCCAACTAGGTATATTTCTACACCATAGGAAGGTTAGCATAGGCACCAATGTGACCACAAATGCAAGTTTTTACAGACGAATCTCCAGCTAGTGTGGCCGTGACGAACTTGCATTTGTGGTCACAGTGGTGCCTATGCTAACCTTCCTATGGTGTAGAAATATACCTAGTTGGATGAATCTTATTGTGGCTAGCTGGTCCAGTGGCTAACGCGACGGTCTGGAGTTTTGAGACTCTCTGACTGCGGGTTCAAACCCGCCTGTGGTATGGTTTGTTTGCAATCGTGTCATTACGATTTCTTATACATATATGCTTCTCAACTGTTGTGTTCTGGGCACCTCTGCAAAAAGTGATTGTGTATGATTGAGGTGAAAGTGTTGAATGATCATGAAAGTATTTTCTTTTTGGGGATTTTCTTTCTTTTTGGGTCACCCTGCCTCAGTGGGAGACTGCTAACTTGTTAAAAAAAAAAAAAAAAAAGTGGTAGTGCACTGTCCTGGAAAACATTCAAGATTATCCTTCTGTGTGGAAACAAGGGTAAATATTGTGATGGTAAATATTATTAAAAAATTAGCTTGCTCTAATGGGGTACATTATTCCTAGTCTGTGTAACATCTGACATAGTGCTGTTAATATTTTACAAATTGTTTAAGGTATAGTATTATGCTACTACCCATGAGCATGGCTACTGAATATAAGACAAGCATGCTGTATTAAGTTAAGATCCATAGTATTATTTCTTAATCCACAAGGTTGTCTCCCACAACTGCAACTTGCATATGTTGTTATAGCCTCTTGAGTGTAAATACAATATTACCTTTTAGATGACTTAATTGTACAACAACTGATCCAAAAATATTGCAGAATGTTAGCCATAATATGTCTGAGCATGGGTGTCACTAGAACTTGAACATATTCCCTATTTTGTCCACTGAAACATGGAGTTCCATATCTATTAGTTCATTATCCAATTATTTCACCCATAGCATCCTTGCATATGCTATGAGCAGAGCAGTATCCCTCATCCTTAAATCACTTTGCTCTATACACTTTATTTTTCACTGCAGACTGACCATATCTCAGTTACCAGGGAAGCTGAATGAGAATCAAGGAAGCATAGAAAGAGAACCATTGAAAGTATTAGTGAACTCCATATAAAAAATCTGATCTCTAAATAAGTTACTACTCTATAAATAGTAAATGGAAAATGTGAGTATTAGAAACAATAAAGAGATAAAGGAAAGATAAAAAAAAAAAGTGGAAAAACAAGAACTATTAAAAGCTATAATGAAAAGTTTAAAGAGTGAATAGGGAAGGAATGTGTCAAAAGTTGCAAGTGTGTGGAATAGGTAGTGATGGTGAAAGTGTTTCTCATTTTTTTGAGTCATCCTGCCTTGGTGGGAGATGACCGGTGTGTTAAAAAAAAAAATGTACCCAATAAGTTTTGGATTTGATCCTCTTATCAAGATAATGATCACTAGAAATAACTACAGTGGACCCCCGGTTGATGATATTTTTTCACTCTAGAAGTATGTTCAGGTGCCAGTACTGACCGAATTTGTTCCCATAAGGAATATTGTGAAGTAGATTAGTCCATTTCAGACCCCCAAACATACACGTACAAACGCACTTACATAAATACACTTACATAATTGGTCGCATTGGGAGGTGATCGTTATGCGGGGGTCCACTGTATTGGTGTTTGTCTAGGTGTTATCATCTAGGGAAGTGATTGTACAAACTGATTCAGATTTTAAAAAGTTTTACATTATTATTTTAAGCCAATGCAAAGTGATAACTTGTAATATATTTATTGTATAGGTATTGATGGGCATTTGTCGTCGTCATCAAGCATCAACCTCTCAGGCATGGGCGGACCTTCTATTGGACAGACAGGAAGAGGCACTAATGTGGTGAGTTCATTTCTTAAAACTTTTCATATTAAGCCAGTCAATAAAATCATAATTATATGCTTAAATTTTCCCATCATGATTAATGAACATGTTTGCTTTTAATATTCTATATTTTCCAGTATTTTCTTCTACAGAAGCTAGAAAATCTTGAATACAGGTACAGTAGGTCCTTGACTTATAATGTTCCTTTCTTGCAATATTGGAACTTGGTCAACAAAGACTTAAGAACATGACAAACTTGCTCTTATCATTTATAGGACTATTTGTTATTTACTTAAAACTGCATTATAAATATTTTATATTTTTACCAAATTTATTCATACTTTGTATATGTTCATTTTATGCAAGAATAGAGAATTCACATTTGTTTGGTTGACATTGGTCAGTAACTATAGACTTGCTACAATTTTCTTGAGGCTCACTTGGTTACCTATACTGTATTTTTTTTCTCCAGATAGTTGCATACTTTTGTATATAAATTTTATGTAGAGAAAGCTCACATTTGTTTGGTAGAGATCGGTCAAGAACTTTAAATTTTTTTAACACTTGGGCCATTTCCCACCAGGGCAGGATAACCCAAAAAAGAAGAAACACTTTAATCATCACTCCCTTTGTCACTGTCTTGCCAGAGGCATGGCAATACTGCAGTTCAAAAACTGCAACATATCACTGTTGTTAGTCATGATTTTCTTTAGGCTGTAGTAATTGGAAGTAGATGTTAGCACCTACTGGACATGTCAGTGTGAGGGACAAGATAGCCAGCAGGGGCTCACTACAACCTCCCTCAAACAATTATATTCATTGTTACCTTCCAACATTACATGCCTACCTATGCTCTTGCCCTTTCTTCCTTCCCTTTCTTCCTTCCCTTTCTTCCTTCCCTTTCTTCCTTCCCTTACTTCCTTCCCTTACTTCCTTCCTTCCCTTTCTTCCCTTTTTTCTTTCCCCCTTTCTTCCCTTCCTTCCCCTTCCCTTCCTTCCCTCCTAGCTGTGAGAGAATCCAGTTGCTGCCTGCCCCTGCACACATGTACTGTACTGTATACTGTGTTATAGCTCTTCTTCTGTTTATTAAACAATATTAATACTACTTGTAAGCAAAAAGGAAGATTATTGAATGTAATCTTGGGTAAATATTCTTAGTGAAACCAAATAGATGACATTGACAGGGACTATCATTGCTGAGGAACACATCCTTGATAATAACATGGGTTCCTCCTGATTAAAAACTTCTTCTCAACAATGGACATACAAACAATTTTCATGAAAAACTTAATGTCTTACATCAAGAACCTACTTTATATTTAGAGTTATAAATGATGGTTGGTATGATTAATCAAAATTATGTTACTTAACAGTTTCTATTTCTAATTTTGCTTTTAAAATTTTGCTCTCAGTGTTATCATATGTAAATATTTCATAATGAAAATTGTTTCTTTGAAACCATTATTGGAGTCACAGAAAATATTTGAAAATTGTACAAACAGTATATACCATGCTGTAATTTTTTTTTATTTTATTTTAGGCCTGTTTATCTTGAATCTGTTATTAGTACACTAACCACTTTTAACTTTTCATTACACACATTAACATATGTAACAGGCAGATGCATTCTTTAGCCTTTACTAAACCATTAAATTAGAGTGTACATAGTTACAAGAAAACTAGCAGCCATAGCAAATAATCTAACAAGCTATTTAAAACAATTTCTTATCAGAAAATTGTTCTTTAGGTTTTTCCTGTTGTTAATGCAGTTTTTGTTAATGTTTAGACTGGGCACATCACTCCATAAAACCATCAACACGCTCAACTGGCTGTGTATATATACACTTTCCATTTATTCACATACATTATAGGTACTGTATTATGTTATTTGACGGTGCAAAAGCCTATGTATTGTTTAATAGAATATTGTACATTATCTCTAACCATATTCTTTATGTGTAAGACTGACATAACATTGGGACATAAATACATACAAATTTATGTATTGTAGGTAGTAGGCTGGTAGACAGCAACCACCCAGGGAGGTACTACCGTCCTGCCAAGTGAGTGTAAAATGGAAGCCTGTAATTGTTTTACATGATGGTAGGATTGCTGGTGTCTTTTGTCTGTCTCGTAAACATGCAAGATTTCAGGTATATCTTGCTGCTACTTCTTACACTTAGGTCACACTACACATACATTTTTTTTTTTTTTTCCCCCAACAAGTCGGCCGTCTCCCACCGAGGCAGGGTGACCCAAAAAGAAAGAAAATCCCCAAAAAGAAAATACTTTCATCATCATTCAACACTTTCACCTCACTCACACATAATCACTGTTTTTGCAGAGGTGCTCAGAATACAACAGTTTAGAAACATATACGTATAAACATATTCCTCCAAACTGCTAATATCCCGAACCCCTCCTTTAGAGCGCAGGCATTGTACTTCCCATTTCCAGGACTCAAGTCCGGCTATATAAAAATAACCGGTTTCCCTGAATCCCTTCACTAAATATTACCCTGCTCACACTCCAACAGATCATCAGGTCCCAAATACCATTCGTCTCCATTCACTCCTATCGAACACGCTCATGCACGCCTGCTGGAAGTCCAAGCCCCTCGCCCACAAAACCTCCCTTACCCCTTCCTTCCAACCTTTTCGAGGACGACCCCTACCCCGCCTTCCTTTCTTCTACAGATTTAAATGCTCTCCATGTCATTCTACATTGATCCATTCTCTCTAAATGACCAAACCACCTCAACAACCCCTCTTAAGTCCTCTGACTAATACTTTTATTAATTCCACACCTTCTCCTAATTTCCACACTCCGAATTTTCTGCATAATATTTACACCACACATTGCCCTTAGACAAGACATCTCCACTGCCTCCAACCGCCTCCTCGCTGCTGCATTCACAACCCAAGCTTCACACCCATATAAGAGTGTTGGTACTACTATACTTTCATATATTCCCTTCTTTGCCTCCATAGATAACGTTTTTTGACTCCACATATACCTCAACGCACCACTCACCTTTTTTCCCTCATCAATTCTATGATTAACCTCATCCTTCATAAATTCATCCGCCGACACGTCAACTCCCAAGTATCTGAAAACATTCACTTCTTCCATACTCCTCCTTCCCAATTTGATATCCAATTTTTCTTTATCTAAATCATTTGATACCCTCATCACCTTACTCTTTTCTATGTTCACTTTCAACTTTCTACCTTTACACACACTCCCAAACTCATCCACTAACCTTTGCAATTTTTCTTTAGAATCTCCCATAAGCACAGTATCATCAGCTAAAAGTAACTGTGTTAATTCCCATTTTGTATTTCATTCCCCATAATTTAATCCCACCCCTCTCCCAAACACCCTAGCATTTACTTCTTTTACAAACCCATCTATAAATATATTAAACAACCATGGTGACATTACACATCCCTGTCTAAGACCTACTTTTACAGGGAAGTAGTCTCCCTCTCTTCTACACACCCTAACCTGAGCCTCACTATCCTCATAAAAACTCTTTACAGCATTTAGTAACTTACCACCTATTCCATATATGTACTTGCAACATCTGCCACATTGCTCCTCTATCCACTCTATCATATGCCTTTTCTAAATCCATAAATGCATATACAGTGGACCCCCACATAACGATATTATTTCAATCCAGAAGTCTGTTTGGGTGCCGTTATAGACCGAATTTGTTCCCATAAGAGATATTGTGAATTAGATTAGTCCATTTCAGACCCCCAAAAATACACCTACAAAAGCACTTAGAAAAATACACTTACATAATTGGTCGAGTTGGGAGCTGATCATTATGCGGGGGTCCATTGTATATACACACCCCTCTGGGTTTTCTTCTATTTTCTTTCTAGTTCTTGTTCTTGATTGTTTCCTCTTAAATCCAGGAGGAAGTGGAACAGAATTCATCCTCCATAAGCCATGCGTGTTGTAAGAGGCGACTACTAGCCCCTTGCTGGGAGCAAGGGGCTAGTAACCTCTTCTCCTGTATATATTACTAAATGTAATAAGAGAAACTTTCATTTTTCCTTTTGGACCACCCCACCTGGGTGGGATATGGCCGGTGTGTTGAAAGAAGAAATTTATGTATGTGTTTGCACTTGTGTAGTTAAACGTGCCAAGCTATAATGTGCCTCTTACTTAACCATTACCATGAATTATCAGCCATAAGTCAGCTTGGATCATTAGATAATGGGTATATGATGCCCAAAAAGAAATCATAGAAGATAATGCAGTTATGTTAGGCTTTCAGTTTTGTTTGAAAGAAAAATTAGGCTTTTTTTTTTTTTTTTGACAGATTCAAAGGACTGCTAATATTTCCATTTATAAACCAGTGTACAGATCACCAGTCTTACACAAGTGCATCGATCACCAGTCTTACACAAGTGCGCAGATCGCCAGTCTTACACAAGTGCACAGATCACCAGTCTTACACAGGTGCGCAGATCGCCAGTCTTACACAAGTGCGCAGATCGCCAGTCTTACACAAGTGCACAGATCACCAGTCTTACACAAGTGCACAGATCACCAGTCTTACACAAGTGCACAGATCACCAGTTTTTCACAAGTGCATCGATAAACCGTCTTACACAGGTGCGCAGATCGCCAGTCTTACACAAGTGCGCAGATCGCCAGTCTTACACAAGTGCACAGATCACCAGTCTTACACAAGTGCATCGATCACCAGTCTTACACAGGTGCGCAGATCACCAGTCTTACACAAGTGCACAGATCACCAGTCTTACACAAGTGCGCAGATCACCAGTCTTACACAAGTGCACAGATCACCAGTCTTACACAAGTGCACAGATCACCAGTCTTACACAGGTGCGCAGATCGCCAGTCTTACACAAGTGCGCAGATCACCAGTCTTACACAGGTGCGCAGATCGCCAGTCTTACACAAGTGCGCAGATCACAAGTCTTACACAAGTACACAGCTCACCAGTCTTACACAAGTACACAGATCACCAGTCTTAC